CCCAAAGCCGCCTGGTGTGCAGCTGGGCCGACATTGTGCGTAATACCTGACAGCCCAGGCTTAAGTGGATGCAATTTTGGGAGCCTTGATGATTAGAATAGGGTTTAGGGCTCATTGTACTATACTTACCCATAGGCCCCAAAGTAATTCCGTTTTGGGGTTCATATATAGAATTCTATTAGGTAATCCCAAAAAGGAACTACTTTGGGGCCTATGGGCATCATCTTTTACGAGCTTTCTAAACAAGACTTGGGCGCCGAGAGCTGACACTGGTTACGCAGACGCAGACCTCCTCAGGAACGCAGGCTAGAATGCGGCTAGAACCTTCACAGAAATGTGTCATTGAATGGCTGATATATATATATATATATGTATATGTGTATACATATCTGTGTGTGTGTGTCTGTGTATACACATCTAAAGCTACACAGATGTGTCAAATGAACAAAGGGGCTGCGAAGATCAATGATCCCTTGTTACGGATTTCAATGGGAAGGCTGATATTGATGGCCCTCATTACCATGGGTGTATCTATCCACGTCTCTATTACGTACGGACTCCTGCAAACATACAATGCCATTCCGTCTTTGAACCATGCCAGCATGACATATTTGCGGCATATGAAGTATCGGCACAATTCATCACGACTAGCCCGACCACCACAAGCAAGCAGGAGCAACATCAGCAGTAGCTTCCAATTTTCTTTGTGTGTTGCCGTGTTGCTCCAGAACAATAGTAAGAATAGCAAAACTAGCAATAAGCAACAAGCAACAATAGCAAAGAGCAGCAATAATGGCAGTACTAGCGCCAATAATCATAACAGTGAAGCAACAATTGTACGAATAGCAGCGACAATACCAGGAGCACAACAAGATATAGTATAGCAATACTAGTGCAAATATACAAATAATAATAACAAAAAACACCAACTGGCATCAGCAGCCATTGCGGTAATCATGCAAAAAACGTTGCAATGGTAATAGTAGTGATACTCAGGGTAGCACTACTGGTTTTAACTGAAGCTAACAGTAATAAGCATACTAAGACTGAAGAATCGAATGACAACGGTGGTGGTAGTGGTAGCGGTAGCGGTAGCGGCAGTAGTAGTAGTAGTAGTAGTAGTAGTAGTAGTAGTAGTACCGGTGGCACAAGTAGCAGTACCGGCAGCACACATAGTAGTACTAGTAGTTGCCGTAGATGTAGTAGTAGTAGTAGTTAGTAGTAGTAGTAGTAGCAGTAGTAATAGTAGTAGTAGTAGTAGTAGTAGTAGTAGTAGTAGTAGTACTACTACTAGTAGTAGTAATAGTAGTAGTAGTAGTAGTAGTAGTAGTAGTAGTAGTAGTAGTAGTAGTAGTAGTAGTAGTAGGAGTAGGAGTAGGAGTAGGAGTAGTAGTAGTAGTAGTAGTAGCAGTTGTAGCGTAGTCGCAGTAGCAATGATAGTACTATAGACATGATTCGTAACAATTGTAGAACAGTAACATAGTAATGATGGCATTCATCGTAGCAGCAGAAACAAGAATAAAAGTAATGATGCCAATGTAAAGATACTCGCAATCATACAGGTGAAAGTAGTTGGTACTAAACAAGTCCAAACCGCAGAAATAATTCTACCGGATAATTTTACGGCCAGTTGCTGGTCCTTTTCGAAGCAGATGTCGTCGGCTTCCTGGCAGCAGAGAGTCCTCGGCTTCGCTACGAACTTCGAGGTAGTCGGGTTAAGGTGTATGTAGGATTGATGGTTTAAGTATTAGGGCTTAGGGTTCTAGGAGTAAGGTTTAAACTTTGCCCCCCTCCAAGTTTCGGAAACAACCAATCCTTTAAACTTGAAAGTACTGAGCCCGGGATCATTCGCCTTGAAACGTGAAGGATTCACGAACTTTTGGGGCCTAAATCCGTAGCAATACTACAATAGAGGGGCTTAACTAATTACCAATACTAGATGCACTCTGCTTACACCCAAAGATCAACCCCAGGTTGGGTCTGAAGGCCGACATACACTCGTACAAACACGATCCTCTTGGACCCAACAATGGAATGAAAGATCCAAGCGGGGAAAATAGCCCTAAGATCTTAACCATGACAGCCCTAAACCCCGAAAGTCTCGAGCCCGAAATACTGGACCCTGAAGCCCTGTCCGCAGGTTCAAAGCAAAATTGACCGGGTTTGTGGGAATTTTCGCAGCCAAAGAGCGACAAACATCCTGCAGCAGTCAGGCGCAGGTGTAGGGCTCCGGGTTCAGGATTTCGTTCGTTTGGGGGAGGGTCCCGCGTAACATTCCGATTCTAATGATTAGGACCTGCGCCCTCCTGCATGGTGGATACCATCGACCTCATCGACATCTCTGCGAAACTGCAGAGCAACCTGCGGACAACCTCAAAAACTCAAGCGAAGGCGTGCATGACTACACTGCAGATAAAAGATCGGTGGGCACTAGAGAGTACTCCAACGCCACCAACGGAAACGGGAGTCATGAAAGTAACCATTCGGACCGACCCAGCGCAGCCTCCAAACCGAGCTGTGCACATGCTGGTGTCTCTCGTCGTTGTCGCAGCGGCCGTTGTGCGTGACCACCTCGACATCATTGAGGATGCTTGGGCTCAGGGTTCAAGTCCGCAAAAAATGTGTGAGTTTCCGAAAATTCGGGGTACCTTATTTAGGGGTCCTCATCATAAGGATCCTACTATTTAGGGCACTATATTAGGGTCCCCTGTTTTCGGAAACTCCCATATCTTGCCAGCGCATTTGGTTTCTGAGTCATGGGTTATCTAAGCCTCCAGGCAAAAAGTGGAGGGCAGTCGGGAAGCCTCGACAAGCCAGCATCCGCTTGCCCAATCCTATCCCCTCAAACTTCGATTCGACAGCCCATCTCAAAACCCTAAGCTGTGGTCCAAGGTCTTAAACCTTAAACCCTAAACCCCTAAACCCTAAACCTTAAACCCTGAACTCTGAAATTCAGAAGAATAAAAAGGCCTCTCTTTTTGGTATTGGGTAACTTTATAAGGAACCTAGGACTACAGAAAGGGAATAAGGGTACTACAGGGCATCCTAGACTAAGCTCTAGGGTTTGTGTTGGGTTTTACGAGGATAAGAGGACTGAGTCAGGTAACAGGTTTGCGAGTAGGATAACCTCAACGATGTTACACAAAACTCTAGTTACAAGTTATATACTCAGTCCAAATCCTATAATCCTAAATCCTCAGCCCCTAAATCGTCTTTTAGAACCCTCTTAGGAACCCTGTAAAGCAAACCCGAAGCCTCTAAGTAATTAGAGGAACAGCATGACGCAGCTTGAGTCTCAGAGGCAAAAGATCCGGGCCAGAGACTCCAATGTCCCCTAACTGAGGTATATTTCGTAAGACAGAGTATGAAACCCGTCTGCAATCAATGGGGATGTTCTGCATCCATGTAATGAAACATGTTTATAGCCAAGGAATACTCTTGATTGCAGCAGAATATGAAACTCGGCATTGACGAAAACAAGCCTCAGCCCTTTTCCGTAAAAACCCTTTTAATCCAAGGACTATTCCTAGCATGGCGGCCATCGTATGAATTCCATTTGGCTTCAGGGGCTTGACTGTTAAGAGATTTTGTCTTACTGGTTTGCGTTGAGGGCTCATCCTACCAGACTGACATCTGCCGCAAGGTTTTCCCCACAATTTTAGAGCTTCTTCTGATCCCCGTGTTGGACAAAACCTCGGCAAGGAGCTCAGTCGTAGATCCGACGTAGGAGGTTGTTGGCACCACGCTACCGTCGAGAGGCCTTTCAGCTTTTTGCTGAGGTTTTAGAGTTGGTTGAAGGTTGAGGAACCCTTGTGAACATGTTAGGGTCTAGAGGTTATGGAATTTACTGCCTGAGCAAGTGAGATGGCAACATATTCATCGAAACTTCCATTTCAACTTATTTCGGAGCTTGCTGAGTGGTAAGCTGGTGTTATTGTCTGTTGCTGCTGCTGCTGCTTCTGATGTTGTTGAGTTGTTGTTGCTGTTGGTGTCGTTGTCGTCGTTGCAGTCAGCGGTGGCGCTGGCGGTGGCGAGTTGATGTCCGTTCAAACTGACTTCATTCAGCCATAAACATCATCCCTCAAACAGCGCGGGGAAAAAGTCAGCAACATGGCCATACACGCTCCGTCCGAAAGCTCTTCTACCCAGGGGCCCCAAAGTAGTTCCCTTTTTGGGTAATATATTCGAGTCCCTAACCAAAAAAAAAAGAAAACACACCCAAAAAGGAACTACTTTGGGGCCCCGGGTAGGGCTTACAAGGGTTACGTTTAGGACTCTAGGGTATTCCCTAAACCCTGGGTAGTTGCGGGCCAAAGCTCCCAGGTAGCTGCAAGCTTCCGACACTGCCCGATCGCGTGCTGGAGATGGTGAAGCGCGCTCCCTGGCTATTCGAAAAGGCTTAGAGCCGAGATTTCTTAGTAATTTTAAAATTACTGTAAGTATTAGTATTAATATTAGTACTGATATTGATATTAATATTTTATATTATTGCTAATACTGAACAGTTGGATAATATTCATAATATAGCTATATTAGGATCTTAATAATAGCCCTATTTTGCACTCTTACTGTATGGGGGCAGTACCTAAGGTACAGGTTGTAGTTCTTAGTGCTGTGGGCGGTCCGATTAAGCTTGCGCTGTTCCTGTCACAACTCACCGGCTGCACACGAGGAGAATGTCGGAAGACTAGCTTTCTAAATAGCGGCCAGACCTTTCGAACGTTGTCCCAAGAGAAATACCCTTCATGTGTTTGTGGGTGCCCTCGCGACATTTTCCATGGCAAGATCCGCCCCCCCCCCCCCACACAGAAGAACACAGCATGTTAATTGCCAGCTGCCCCGATCTCCAAGTCTGAGACAGGAGTCTACTGCAGGTCCTCCCAACTGCTGGCAAAACAACTGACTGTCACTGACTGACGATTGTTTCAGACGCCTGACGCGAGAATCTGAACTACTTTGATGGTGATACGAAACTGGCCAGTGCTTGCGCTTGCCTTCGACTAGCTCAGTTTCAAGGATTCATGGAGCATCTGCACGGTCGAGAGAAGTTGGGTGGCGTGTTCCCAAGCATCTTCGTGCCTTCCTCGAACCGCCTTGCTGGCTTGTTCTGAGGAGAAGCGAATCTCGTAGTTGCTTTCGCCCGAGTGCCCTCCCGTCTTGCTCAAGCGGGTGACTTCACGAATTTTGGAGACATCCACTTCGACGGCCTGCTCATGGTCCATCCAGACACACTCTTCCCTGCATGCCACACATTGAAGCTTCCAGCCGAATGGTAAGGAGCACTTCTGAAACGATTCAACCAACTTGTCCGGATCTTGCAGTCGCCCTCTGCACTCGACATCGAAACGTTGCAGTGCATCAGCTAAGCCCTGTGCGATATTCACCTCTGCACTCGCATTTACCGTCAAGCGAAAATCTGGAGAGTGTCCAAGGCGACACACATCACCTCTAAAGAGTCGCTCGCTCTCTTTCTTCGCGACGAAGGTCTGCACGCCTCCGAGCAAGGGCTGATTGAAGTATTCACTCAGACAAACCTGTCAATGTGGAGAGAACAAGTGCCTCCTAGAACACTCCAAGCCTCTGGGTTTGGGCTCGCTCTCGCCAGCCAGACCGAAAAATGTGGCCGGAACCTCTCACATGCTTCATGCTCGCCACCCGTGAGGCTTTTCAGGTGCCAAAACGAGGTCTAGAACCCGCTGAAGCTACAATCTCTTCTTGAGGATCGATCCCAATCGAAAGTAAAGAGCAGCTCCGGTTGTCGGAAGCTCTGTCTAACCTAACTAAACACGTGTAATTTCCTCCCGCCTCGCGGTATGGCGCTCTGATGCGCAGAGCTTGGTCCAGCGGCATGTCAGGAGGGCCTGGGCCATTCTTCTGCAGAGGACTGGCATGAAACAGGAGGAGAGTACCAGGAGCCTCCTTGTGCACTCAAATAGGGGTATATGGTCCCTAATAGTAACCATTTAGGGTCTAATAGAGGGTAGATGGAGGGTCTAGGTATGGTGCTGCAGTCGGGGTGCGAAACTCGATCTGTGCCAAAAGACCGTCTGCGGCGCGCTTGATGATGTCCATGGCACACCAACATCCCTCAAACTCGCTATGGGAGGGATGCAGCAAAAGCTCCAACATCCGCCTTGCCAATGCGACCCGCCCACTGGAGGCCTGCTCTTGCCTTTCAATTTTCAATACCTCGAGGTGTGAGCTGCAAGACCAAAGTCGGCTCATCTCAGTTGCTCGTGCAAGCGAACCTTCAGGGTCGAAGAAAGTAACCTCCATCTTGGCACCATCTTCTTCTGTCTTGATGTAATGAGTTGTGTTGGTAAGCTGCTGCGAAAGCACGAAATCACTCTTCTTGAGCACCTTGGAAAGTTCCTCCGCAACGGGACGCTTCAAGCGCGCCGCCCACTGCGGTCGGCAGTCCTTGTAGCTGAGTTGGTCTATCGCACCGGGCCTTCGCGCAGCTTCCTGGGACAGTTTCGGGCCCCAGAAGAACAACTTTCCAAAACGAACTGAAACACGAGCTTCAGAGAGCTTCTCGGATGCAACCGTATCAAGGCACCGCTGGAAATCCAGGTGTAAAGCACTCCAGTCAAAATGGTCCGGGCAATAACTGTATGTGCTGACACTCTCACCTGCTGAATTGGAGTCAAAACGCACTTTCTCGAGCACATAGAACCGTCTGCCGCTGCCGCCGACAGCTGTTTGCTGGAGCTGCATGGGGCAAACATGGAACTTCTCAATATCCGCCGGCACCAACTTCGCGCACGAAGCACTGGAGACATCGATCAATGTGCCCTTCGAGTGAGGAGGCTTGTGAGATGCCCCAGCCCTATCAATGAGCATCTGGAAGCTGCGGACTGCTTCATCAACCATATCCACGCGCCCACGTATGACGAGCTGCATTTCATGAGCGCGTGGGCCAACGAAGGTTTCTTCTTTGTCTTTCTTCATCACGAGGATGTGAAGGCCTGGATAGGACGACCGCACCGATTTCAGCTGAGCATTATTCTGACCAAGGACAGCGCCTATAGCATAGCCGGACACAGAAACCTTCCGTTCAATAATTTGGCTCCCGACGGGGCGCCATTGCTTGCCCTTGCTCGCAGAAGTCTTGCCGCCGCCCTTGTCACCAAAATTTTCCGCACCCTTCTGCCCCTTCCCACTCTGAGGCTCATGGCTTTCAGGCCCCTTGGCATAGCCTTTCGCGCCCTTCTCCTTCCCTTTGCTTTGCAAAGAGCTCCAAGTCTGCAAGGTCGGGGGACCACTGGCAGTGGCGAGGTTGTTGGAGTGCAATCGGATGCTGCAAAAGGGACAGAATACCCCGCAACTGCTGCACAAGTAGATCTGGCCACGATATTTCTGGCAACTCGGAGTGTCGCACCTGAGTTCTCCCCGATTGCCATATTGAGGAAGGCATGTCATGTTCGGTGTATTACGCCAACTACACTAACTTCAAAAACGATGTTTAGGGTCATAGGGTCTTGATGGTCCCAGGCGCAGCAGCCGATATCTTCCTTGCTTCAGGTCGCAGACGAAGCAGTTTACCAACTCCAGAGAAGTCGTAGACGTTGCTTCGTCCCCCATGGCGACTCTTCTCGGAGCCCTCAATTTAGCAGGGGCCCTAAAGCTGAGAGTGGGGCTGTGGGGTCTGCATTCAGCTACCTGTATGAGAAGGAGCCCCAATCGGCGGATGGTCCCATAACATACGATAACATCCTATAGAATACTCGTCCCTATATGAGCCTTTGCTGTGCCCTTATGATAGTACCCTGATCACGGTACCCTTAACGAAACCCTTGTCAGGGTGGAGTCGAGGTCAGCGGATCTAGCACTTACATTGGAGGCTAGAGCACTTGGAGGTTCATGGGTAGTTATATGTGGGGTTATAATTAGGGTAACTATGGTTATAACCCCTATTAGGGGACTTATAACCCCATTTATAACTACCCATGAACCTCCAAGCACACTTTTGATCGGCACATCACTGCTCCTGGGTTTCTTGTAAAACACAGGGGAACCGAAGTGCAGAGCCTAAGTGGCAATCAGGATGCTTACCACCTGACAAAGTGTATAATGGATTGCAGATGTAATAAACGGCAACGTAGGGACTATACCGGAATGGGTATCGCTCGAGTACTAATTGATTCAGATCCCTAGATTACCGTACCAAAGCTCCATATCATGCGGCTGCTGCAAGCAGGAGTCGCAACGCTCTCGTCAACATTCAGCCTAGACCGGCTTAGGGCCAAGGGCCTCAATGCCGAAACTTCAAAGCTGAAGCAGGAGATCAAGCAAGTACCGTCTGCTTACAATCGCTACAACCATAAACATCCGCAACCACAAACTCACCAAAACAAACCAAGATAAGACCATCAACCTTCAAGCCCAAACATGAACTCCCAAAGCAACGATTGGCAGCCTTAGTAGAGGACCCGCCAAGAAAGCAGCGCATCTTGTGTGCCTGCCTTCCCCGCATCGTATCGGTGGCCATTTACCTCGGGCGTCTGTTCAGGGTTAAGGGTTTCGGTTCTAGTGCACAGCTGTAGAGGCTCGTCCAACGGCAGCTGCGATTGAGCCGCTGAATATTGAACTTTAGACTCTAGACACTGTAGACATTGGAAATGCCCCTGGAGCTCTCATCAGATCCTTCTAGCAGCCCAACTTTCGGCAAGCTGCAGATACCATACCGAACTCAGAACCCCAGCAACAATTATAATTTTAGTAAATTTAGCTGTTTCTTAGGGGTTATAATAACCAAAAAGTAAACAATATTTCTAAGTACCCCTAAGATACCACGAAGCCTCGGCCTCAACCCTCACAAGACGAGGCACGAGTTGCGAGACTCCGGCTGCCTCGAAGTAGCCGTTGTTGCCCTGTTTCTCTAGGGCTTACAAGGGTTACGTTTAGGACTCTAGGGTTTAGGGTTCAGGGAATACCCAAAGTAGTTCCTTTTTGGGTGTATCCTCTTTTTTGGTTAGGGACTCGAATATACTACCCAAAAAGGAACTACTCTGGGGCCCCTGGGTAGGGCTTACAAGGCTTACGTTTAGGACTCTAGGGTATAAACAAAAACGGGTGTAGGGCTTACGGGTATTTCTAGGGTGAGGGGATGACGGTGTTTAGGTTGAGGGCGTTGGGGTTCAGGGAACTAGCCGTTGACTCTGGCGGTGACATAGGGCCTTAGGAGTTGGACAACGGGCTTCAGAGGCAGTTATGGGTGTTTACAGGTTTTCTTGGCTGACTTCTGAACCCCTCCTAAAAGTTAAACTTTTAGCCTCCTTATTATAGTTCATATAGAAACCCAAAAAGTTAAAGTCTAAAGAGCCAACCAGAAGAACGCCAAGTTTTACAAGGGTATGACGAATGGGTCTTGGTAATTGGGGTTGTGCGTTTCGCAGCATATTTGTGGATGGGCTACAAGGGGCTATTTGTTTCCGGGGTTGTAGTTCAAGAGTCACCCTATGCATATTCAGGAAGATACCTGTACAGGGTCCTCTTCTGCGAACTCTTGAACCCGAGCGGGATCTTGCCCCACGTGTCGCATGATGAAAGGCTGCCAGCTGCAGACACTACTTGGAGGTTCATGGGCAGTTATAAGTTGGGTGATAATTAGGGTAACTATGGTTATGATCCCTATTAGGGGACTTATAGCCCTATTTATAACTACCCATGAACCTCCAAGTACTTCCCCCATCACACACACACACACACATGCCCCCAAGCCGAGGCCATGAACCATAAAGTTTAAAACCCAAATCCGAAACCCTACTACAGGTGCCTCAATGATTAGAATAGGTTTTGGGGGCCCATTATGCTAGAATTGTAATAAGGAACGCCCCCGCGCAATATATAATTAGCATTGGTCATTCTTTAGACCCCTATATTACACTCAAAACAGACCCCTTTTAAACTCCTATGGAAGCCCCCAGTATCCTGAACCCCAGCCCCCCCACAGAGCTCCCCTCACTGGGGCCCGGTCTGCGACGAACTTCAGGAAGAGTCTGCCGAGGCCTCGTCGTGGCTTCCAGCAAAGGGTTTTAAGGGTTTCTTGAAGGGGCTCTTTTCGGCTTTGTGCCTCTACCCGAAGGCTCCATAGTAGTTCCTTTTGGGGTTCATTTTTTAGCATCCTATAAGGTGATCCCGACAAGGAACTACTTTGGAGCCTCTGGGTAACTTATGTATCAATGTTGTAGGCATGACATGTCTAAACGGATCTTCATCACTATCCAGAATAGCTGACATTTTTATCTTGCAGGGGGCTTCAAATCGCAAGATGGCTTTAGGTATGTTTTAGTACCACCACAAGGAGAACCTCATCCTACTTAATCAGGCCCGTAAATCAAAGAGGTGAGATGTTTTGGTGTTAGAAAATCTGGGCTTTGGACGGAAGCTTGCTAGGACGCTCTTTCGACGCAGCAAATAGAACCAATAAGATGGGTTACGGAGAACTTGTCTGCGAGTATATGAGGCTTATAGGGGGAGTGCTAAGGCGTGTCACGAATTATGAACCCAGAGACTCCAATATCCCTTAACTAAGGAGTTTACCTTAAATTAGAGTAAGATCCCTAATATGATTTAAGGTATACTCCAGGAATATTGGAGTCTCTGGGAAAGAAGTGGCTTCTGCTCTCATCCCAGCCCCGGAGCTCCAAGCTGGAAAGCACGAGACGGCAGGAATCCTCAAGCCACTATCCAGGGCCTTCATAATTACTGGGCTGGCCTTTTAGAGCCCTTGGAAAAATCTTAACATATGTAGGGTCCTTATACCACATTATACCCAATTAGGAAATATTTGAATAACTTAAAGGCCTAACCAGATTAGTCCAGGGTCTCCTAATATCAAGGTCTTCAGGTTACCCAATGCCCCGGCCCCCACACCCCCCACACCCCCGCGCCATCGACGAAGTAGACGTCTCCTAGTGGCGCATCGAGGACATCCTGCAGTGAGGAGCCTGGACCAGACTGAGGACTGTTTTAGGGGTCGCCCCAAAACAAAACGCTTCTTTCTTAGTGAACTTTTCTCAGCCATAGTACAGAACTCTGGAAAAAGTGAGCTACATATATAAATCTGAGCAAGGAACCCTAAAACGGTATGGGTATGGCTTTTTGGCTACGCATAAGCCAGAATTTGGTGTCTCGGCGTCGGTCTGAGGTTTGTAGGTGCAGGTTTAGGCTACTCCATGGGAATTCAATATGTGTAATTGTTGTGGTTTGGGGGATAGCTTCTCGGTTATATAGGGTGTAGGTTTTGTCAGTTGTGTCATAATTTTCCGTGCATTCAATGTACAATTCCTAGCACCTGTCTGTTCCTTATAATACTTATATATATATATATATATATACATATATACAAAGGTATGTGTGTGTGTGTGTTCACACCTCCATGTGTACACATGCATACCTGCCGAAAACCCCTGCCAACCCCCACAGTAAACGACTAATCAAACTCCAAGGCCTTATATCAGTCTCAAACCTCACAGCCCGACGAGACTGCAAACCTCTGAAAGCCCTTAACATCCCAAAACACCCTGTTCGACCCCCGAACATAAAACATCGTCAACTAAGCCCGACACCTCAAACAAGCAAGGCCGTACAGGAATGCTGGGCCTTGGCTCACAGCGACGCAGTTCGTGAGGCACCGGTTGATCGTGAAGCTCGCACCTTCAATGAAAGTGTGAATGTGAACCTTCATCAACACTGCAATTTCTCGTGACACTATTCACACACACGCGCGCATGTGGTAATGCATATGTCTCTGCGCATATGTACGGTGTTGCTATATACGTATCTGTATATACTGAGAGGGACATGGGCACAAACAGCAGATACACTGTCATGTGTGCGTATACATATACATATATACTTATACACAACATGTAAGGAAACTCTTACATGCATGTGTATTTTTATGCCGTATTATGTACACTCTACAAATGAGCTGAGCCTGGGACTCAGGCACTTATGTGCAGCTATCTCGGGGGCGCAATGCTTTCATATGCTTGCTGGACAACCCAAAGGGTCCAAGTATCATTATGGTATATACTTAGACCCCCAAAATACCCTATAAGTATATACCATACTGATACTTGGACCCTTTGGACAATTGGGGGCGTCCGCGGATTCCGGCAGTTTGGCAATGACTTTGCGTGCTTCGCGCCTAACGGTTGAGGTATCTATGACGGTACGGCCCGGCGATGTCGAGAGGAGGTTTGGCCAACGGCCCATGCCTGGCTACCGAAGTATCGCACGAACCGGTAGGCCGGCTATGTCCGATTCTGATGGGCGCAATCCGTGCACTGGTACAGGCGAGTGCGTTCAATGCAGACCTGTATCAAATGCCTTGAAGAACACGAAAGCCTAACCGCTGAAACTTGATCGCCGAACGTGCCCTGCTGTTTGCAGTTATGAGAACCCTGATGCCTAGAATCGGCATTTGGAAAGCATATAGGGTCCGTACAGGAACATTACTGCTTATCCGTCAGACCCCTATGTTCGACTCAAAATATACCCATACTCAATAAAGCCAGAGACACCCGCAGCTCAAACTCAAACTATGAAACAACAACCTTTCAAGAACCTATCAGAAGCGCACAACAAATCTAGAAAGCTCGTACTAAGCCCAAATATGGGCCGTGGGGGATACTGTAGCAAAACAAACCCCGAAAGAACATTCTATTGCTAGTTTGTTCAGACTCCTTCATCACAGTACACAAGAACCCGAAAAAAACATTCTATTGCTAGTTATTCAAGCCCTTGCATTACAGCCCATCACGCGTATAAGGCCTTGAGAGCCAGACCCTAAACTCATCTGACACTTCCCCCCACTCAGTAATAGTTAAATAGTATTCATAGTATAGATATATTCGGACCTTAATAATAGCCCTATTATAGACTCTTACTGTATGGGGGCCCCGCCTTGAGGGTAGGCCGTGGCGAAGACAAGGCCTCCAGCAGCTTCGGGGAAGTAACTTGACTTTAAGGTGGGGGCCTTGATAATCAGACTTCTGGTTTGGGGCTCCTTTGTAGTATAACTACAGAAGGGAACCTTAAGGAATAGTTTTGGTAATTATCCAAGCTTCTATATTAGATGCTTAATATGGTGGCCGTTATGTGTAGAACAAGAACAGGGTTCAGGGTTTTGGAAGCCTTAACAACAGGAGAAGGGTTTCCGCGGATGTCGTACGGTTGATGATATGAATCCTGCATTACCCATAATAAGGAATGTACCATAATTCCCATAGTTTAGGGTCTTTAAGGTACTGCAGGATTTATATCATCAGCCGTAGTATGAGTTTTCCAGGACTGTATTAATAGGAGTCCTATGGATTACTGGTTTCTTCCGTCCTCCATATTGCCATTTTGGGCCTTCGGGCTTTTCAGTTTACGGATTTATTGCCTCGGGAAGGCAGCTTGCCAAACAAGAGTCGCAATTCACGACTGTTCAAACATGATAGCAAGAGTACCCAATGAACCTTTCAAGGTTGCGATTAGGCAAACAGAACACCGAGGTTGCACTGCTTTGCGACATGTATGGTGAGGGGTTGGGGATTAAGGTGTTCCTTGGAACCCGAACGACCTACTTGATGTCAGAGATTGTATGGGGCCGTTTTGTGAATGAGAAACTATTTGAAACAAAGTCGTTGGGCAGTTTGCGCTACAGAGCCTTATGCTCTGTTTCGGAGCCATGCGCTGTTGACATATTTGGGAATGAATAATTGGAAAACGGTTTAGGGGTGTACTATCGTACTTCTATTGGGAATTCGATTCTTTTTGAGGGAAACCCAAGGAATAGCATTACGAACTGTTCTTGCTTCTATTTTACTCGGCAGCAGAACTGAGAGAGTCTTTCAAGGGAAAGTGTGACATATGCCAGCACTTCAACATCTTTCATGTTCCCGAGTCCGACCTCACAAGTCTGGGGTTGTCGCATTTGGGGTTTGAGAGTGCAGGGTTCAGGTTTACGGGGTCAGAGGGTGAGCAGAGATGCTCCGGAGTTGAAGAGTTTTCAGGTATCCAGGCTTAGCACGGAGGAGGCAGCCTGAGTAGTAGGTGGGTTCTTGCAGGACACAGCCTAAAACATGGCCTGAACAATTCGTCGTAGCAATATTCTGTTTCGGAGTTGTTGCATCACATGCTCCAAACTCGTGTTCCAATCATTACATTAAATCCTATATATGGGTGGTTGTCAAAATTAGGGGTCCCTTTTTGGGTCCTTATTATACTACGGCACCTAATATTTAGGGAAATTTAGGGTACACCAAAAGGGACCCCTAATTTTGACAACCACCCATATGCTGTTTGACCCAAATCTCCGAAATCCCCGCGCCTCCCGACTCCACCATCTGGTCCAAAAAGATCGTCAGTTCCGGCACGGCGCCTTCTCTAATGTACCCAAAGGCCCCAAAGTAGTTCCCTTTGGGGGTTCACATATAGAATCCTATAGGGTAATCCCAAAAAGGAACTACTATGGGGCCTTTAGGTAGGGGCCTGAATTCTTAAAGGGTCTTGGGGTCCATGGAATGGTCTTACTAGTCACTCCGACCTCCCTACTACGGCCACCCTAAACCAAAGTCCGGATGCCAACCCTAAAAACCCGGCACCTCGACATCGAATCTCAAAGCAGAACGCCGAACTCGCCGCTTAACATATTTTGAACCCCAGAAAGTTGGAACATAGATTTAGTATGATTCATGCTGGGATTCCCTTTACTTTACTTTAAGGGCATGCGGCTGGTGATGTTCCAACTTTCTGGGCTCCTACTGTAGAACACAAACCGGAGCTACATGCATGCATGGGCCGCAACTTTGAACCCTTAGTGCCAGACCCAAGCCCGGAACCCTGAACCTGACAGAGCTACAGCCTTCAACCTCATAAAGACTTATAAGAGGGCCTGAACAACTAGAACATGGCTTCGTGGTACGTTATGGTATGTTCGATAAAATATGCAACCCAAAGGACTAGAATAGATCCCTAACTGCTCCGACCCTTCTCATGTACCGATGAGAAACCCCCTCAGCCTTGGAGCCACCAAGCCTCTGGGTCCCAAACTTCCCCAATCCTACACCCCAAGTCTCAACCCGGTTTAGCTTTTGTGGGTAGGGTTTAGGGTTTAGGGGTTTAGGATTTAGGGGTTTAGGGTTTAGGGTTTTAGGGTTTAGGGGTTTAGGGTTTAGGGGACAGGGGCTAGACCCTCAAGCCGACCAAAAACACCAAAGGCTTGACAGTGCTGCAGCCTGAAACTCCAAAAACAACTAGGTAGGGCTTTTAAAGCCTTTGAAAAATATTAGTAAATAAGATCCTCTTAAGCCCAATAAGGGAAAATATACAAAATGTCCCCCAAAGCCCTACCTTGAGAAATCTGGGCTTCCCTTTTTTGCTCCCAAGCCGGCCCAAAAAAGCACTAAAAAAAAGGGGCCTTAATAATTAGAATAGTGTTCCTTTAAAGGGGTCTATAAGGGCTACTATAAGGATTTAATATAGGGGCCTTAATAATTAGAATAGTGTTTTGGGGGTATATTATACTATAATTATAGTAAGAAGCCCCCAGACCCAAGAGTAACCTGGGAATAAAAAGGGTGGCCTTTTTGGTTTAAAGGGGCTTAGAAGGGAACCTGAACCCTAAACAAGGGAATAAGGGCCTACTCTAGGTCCTAAGAAGCACTACCCGCTTTGGAACAGCCCGAAGCCCAAGCTCCGGAAGCCGTTTCCGAGCTCCAAACCCTGAAAGTCGACAACTAGGCTGTTCAGTAATTTACTGGGAAGAAGTATATACTTGTTTAGGCTTCTTATGTTATAATGGGAACCCAGAAACCTGAAAGTAAAAAAGTCTACCACTGAACAGCCTGGATGACAAACTAAGTCGAACGATGGGAATCGCCACCATAAGCCGCTTGGACCTAGCGAAGCCCTAAATCCTTACGCTCGTGTGCCGAAACTCTGAACGTGATAACCCCATGGAGCGTTTCTGCCTCCGTCCAGGGCCAAAAACCATCCAATATCGCAGCAAGGGCCAGTCACCTCCCATCAGACGGGCAATGTTGTTGTTGCTGCTGACGGTGTTGGTGCTGGTGTTGTTGCTGTTGCTGTTGCTGTTGCTGTTGCTGTTGCTGTTTTTGTTGTTGTTGCTGGTGGTGGTGGTGGTGGTGGTGATTGTTATTGCTGTTGCTTTTGCTGTTGTTGCTGCTGCTGCTCTCGTTCTCGTTGTCGTCGTCGTAGCTGCAATGGTTGTGCTTGTGCTTGTGATTGTGCTTGTTGTCGTGGTTGTTCCGGTTGCTGCTGTGGCTCTGGTTCTGCTTCTGGTTCAGGTTTAGTTGTGGTTGCGGTTGTTGTCTAGGTTGTGAGGGTTTATAAGAGCCGCATCAACGACAAAAGCAGCAATCCCTGGGCACCTTGAGGCAGGGATGCTGACTTTGACAAATCTGGAGGCGCTTCCCCAAAACCCCGTACGTCCCAACACAAAGGCACCGCAGCGAAAGGCCCAATGCTCAAAGCTTCCGTGAATTTCGACATACTCTCTTGCAGATGCTGTACATTTGGTCTTAGTTTCTATACATTGTGCTGCTACTTTTTTATGTGCATGCACAGAGAAACCAGTAGCACAATGCCCCTCACGTGTGTGTACAAGTATACGAGAATTTGCGCCCGCATCCAGCCGAGTTGCCATGGGGCTCTCTGCAAGGCCCACGTCAAGATGTCGCTCTGGTCCTAGATGGAGACTTCGGAGATTTTTGAGGGGGGCGGGCACGATTGGCTCGCCCACCGAAGCAGTCAAACTACCAGCCCAGCTGTTCGTTTAGGTAAACCGTATCCTGAACCTCAGATACCGCAAACCAGGAGTGTTTCGGCAAAGCTGCGACCGAAATGGTACAGCATGCCCACCTGAGTTCAAGCAGCCGGGCTCGGAGATCTCATGCCCAAATGCCCCCAAACGCGAAAGATAAAAGCACCACCTAACCTCAAGCCGAAAGTCTTACCCCAACTGAAGACTTACGGTTTGCGGCTTAAAGTTTACTTCGGCACCCGCTGCTCAAGACTTAGTTTTTTGAGCACAAAGACTTAGAACCCTATGAGTCCTGAATCACCGGCGGTCCAGCCACTGGCTACGCTCCCAATACCGAGCCCCAGAAAAGAGGATTACCAGTCAGCCAGGCCAATGAGGTAATGATATAGGGGCTTACTAATTAGAATAGGGTTCCTTTAAGGGCTCTATAAGGGATCTATATTAGGGTTCTATGATATAGAGCCTTACAAATTAGAACAGGTAGACTATAAATAGAATAAGGAACTCCCAAGAGAGTATAGGCAATTAGAGAGGCCACTAGAGTATCTCTTAGGCCAGAGGGGGCCTCTGCAAGAGCATCGTCTGAAGGTCTTCGCGGACGACTTCGGCTTCCGTAAGGCTTGGGTGTTTCAGGTTTAGGGCCTACCGTCAAGGTTCAGTTTTTCCAAGTCTCAATGCAGAACTTGAGCCAGCTGACAAAGCAAAGAAGGAAACCGAGCACCATCGCAGTCGCAGTCGCACTCGGAATCGTCGTCCTAACCGTCGCGATGATAAACACCAGCTAGCACAAGGTCATTACATCATGTCTAGCAGGAAGCCCTAAGATGTACTTTGGCTGACAATTCCGAGCCCTGTACTTCCCCCCCAGACCCTAAGCCCAAGCCCTCCTATGAGCCGCAAATGAATCCGCAATAGGACTCTTCGGCGAAACCTTGAGACCTTGCAAGGAACCCTCATACATAAACCCCTTACAGGACCCTTAAAAAAGGACCCCCATCCAGGCTGGGGGCGGCAGTGTTGGGGTGCGTGCGCTGCGGGGGCGACGAGAGCAGGCCCTGCATGATGAAGAGGCTCACCACCGTCCTTTGGAGGGGTTACGGGTTAAGGGGGGGTGTAGAGTTCAGGGTTTCAGCGGATTGGGGGTTCATGGCTTTTGGGGCCTAGTGATGCTTAGCCTAGTGATGCACATGCAGATGCTAGGGCAGTTTTGACCCTGCAATGAAAAATGGGAAGTAGATATACGGGCAATAAGAATGTTAAGTACATAATAGAAAAGTAGATAGGTAGTTAGATTAAGTTTTGACTAGATGGATGGCGGAATTAAACAACAGGAGTCGCATGCCCCGGCTTATAATCAGAAAGGGGTTCGAGTAATAGGTACAACCCAAACCGAGTCGAAAACAATCATAAACAACAACCCCATTCAATACCCGAACCCCCGGAAAGAGGGCGAGACTTTGCCCCCACCGCCCCCCCCGGCTCATCACCTGTCGCGCTGCTCTCCAACCTCCAGCTCAGCAGCAGCAACGGTTTCCGGGTTGCTGTCTCACTCTCTCTCTCTCCCCCGCCCCAATCGCTACCTCTCTCTCTCTCTCTCTCTCTCTCTCTCTCTCTCTCTCTCTCTCTCTCTCTCTCTCTCTCTCTCTCTCTCTCTCTCTCTCTCTCTCTCTCTCCCACCGTCTCTCCCCACGAATCTCACCACCACTCGGCCTGATCGTGCTTCTTGCGCACCAGCCCCTGCCACGCCACGGACACTTTGAAACCCAAGCATTCACCTCTATGGCATGTCTAGTTGCTCTAGTCTAAATAAACAATGCCAAGAACAAACAATGCAGGTCAAAATACCCAAACTCGAAGTATGCTTCCTAAAACCTGTCCGAGTCCAGCCTTCTTCATCGCTTTCAACTCCCCGACAGTGTACCAAAGACTTTTATGCTTGGCCACGCGGTCGACGAAAATCGTCCTCACGCCCTGACAGAGATGAAACGCTTATCCCAGTCCTGGTCGCATGGTCAGTAAGTGACCTTCTTCCAGGTCACGCGGCGATCCCGGCGGGCTTTGTAGTTCGAGATCTGTCAGTGCATCTTTCGCTTTCCACGCCAACTCACAATCGCGTTCCGTGCCTCCTCTCGAAACTCCGGGCACTCCCTCTCCTCGCTCATATGAAGCATGGTTACAACTCGAGCATCGCGCACCCGACCACTCAGGTTGGAGCCGCATCCGCGAGGCGCTTCACCGTCAACATGCGGCCGGTTTTGTACTTCGCGATCTGTCAGTGCAATTTTCGCTCTCCGCGCCGAGTACGCAATCGCCTGCCGTGCCTCATCTCGAAGCTCCGGGAACTCCCTCTCCTGGCTCATATGAAGCACGGTTACAGCTCGAACACCCTGCACCCGACCACTCAGGCTGGAGCCGCATCCGCCAGCCGCTTGACAACCAACGCCATGGAGCGCAACTACGCTACGACTCACTTGTGTCCCTCGCCCCGAACAGTAAAAGTGGGTTGCAACGGAAACAGAGGCTTGCCTGAAGCTTCAATGGAGAGCAGCAAGCTCAAAAGCAGCGCTATGTCCGCAAATTTAGAAATGTACTGCTGCGCTACAGCATCAAAACCACAAGGAACCGATGGCACCATGAGAAGGCACCGTGGCTCAAGAAACCCATGACAGATAAGGCCAAAGGACTGGCCGTTGCATGAAGTCTCACTTGGAAAACAGTTGCCCCTGAACGCCTGGCCATCATACGCGAGAGATTTCAAGATCACTCCCTGGCCATCCGTGAAACGAAACGAACTCCAGAGCAGAATTAAAAGGCTCCTAATACCAGACATTCGACATCTGAAGCTTCCCTTGCAAGCAACCTGCGCTCAATCTGCACAGCCACATACAAGCACGACTTCTTTCCCCTCCTTTGGCAGCCGGCTCTTCAAGAAACTGGCTTGACCCTGCACTGAAAAAATGGGAAGTAGATATGCAGGCAATAAGAATGTTAAGTACATAGATAGAAAAGTAGATAGGTTTAGATTAGGTTAAAACTAGATGCATGGTGGAAATACACAAAGGGAGTAGCCGCCCCGCCAGTGGCCGCGATGGCAAGTACAATAACTACCAGCACTGGAATACCATGTCAGCACGATACGAACATATGTTACAGGAACCACTTGCCATTGCGGCCGCTTGTCCCGGCTTCATATGAGCGAAGATGTTTGGGGGGTTAGGGTGTACAACAAAACGTCTAAAACAGAAAAGCATCAGACAACACATGAACTATAACGAACATCGAGAACCCCAAACCCCCTAAAGGGGGGTGACACTTAGGTCCCCCCCCTTCTTCGCTCGCGGCTCAGGGCGCCCCTGGACCTGGCCACGCGAAACAGATCTCGACCGCTCCTTCTCTCAACTCTCATCTTTCTCTCTTCTTCTCTCTCTCCCTCTCTCTCACTCTGCCTGTCCCGCTCTTTCTCCCTCGCTCTCTCCCTGGCTCTCTCTGCCTCTCTCTCTCTCTCTCTCTCTCATTCTCTGTCTCTCCCTCTCTCTCCCACGAACCCTCTCTCAACCCCTCTTCCCCTCAAAAGGGGGCCACCTTTCGTGCGCTGGCGCTTCGGCGCCTGGCATCGCTCTATAACACTCCCACCCCCTCGACACAGTTTCAGCCAAAAACACAAAGCTGCACAAGAGCCTTGGGCTTCGACGACTGCGAGCCAGAAGCCTCGAGCAACAAAACACGAAACGCCATCTAAAACAAAACACATCGGGGCTGCGACAGTGCGGAGTTCGACGGCCTCCTGTGGAACGACAACTAACGACCAACAAATGCGCGCACACAAACATAAACATACACACATGCACTGAATGTTTAAGGCCAACACGAGATCCAGCGCTGCATGATGATCCTGGCAAATCCAGAAACACAGGATGCACTCGCGATTGCAATTGAGGATTCACCCTACAGCGCAAAGCCTCGACCTCCCTGTCCGTGGCAACACGACGAACCTCGAACAACATCCGAGCCAGGCCAATGCATGACACAGAACCAAGTCCCACGACACACAAAGCCATGTCCCGCACCGGTGGATTCGGGGCATCATCTTCCTTGGCAACCACACATACAACACCATGCATCCACAATGCGAACAAGCACCACATGTTCACCAATGTAATTCAAGAATCATCGGGAAACAGCTCCTTCATGGACGAAACCTGCACACAGACAGCACACACACACAGATGCACACACACACACACACCCACGTCCTGAGACACGCGGTCTGGATTCATCACGGCATCCTTCCGAGTTTGATCTTTCACTCGTCCTCTTTCTGTCTCTCTATCTCTCTCTCTCTCTCTCTCTACCTCTCTCTCTCTCTCTCTCTCTCTCTCTCGGCGTCCAGCCCCGGCCTCCTCCACGGACTCCTCCTCACCGTCCTACCGAGTTTGATCGTCCGCTCCTTCTTTTTATGCCCCTCTCTCTCTATCTCTCTACATCCAGCCCCGGCCTCCTCGGCGAGCCCCTCCTCACCAGGCTTCCAACTTTCGTCTTCCACTCGTTCTTTTTTACATTTTTTTACTGTCTCTCTCTCTCTCGCTCTCTCTCTCTCTCTCTCTGCGTCCAGTCCCGGCCTCCATGTCCGGATCATCCTGGCCATCCAATCAAGTATGGTCTTCCCCTCGCTCTCTTTCCGTCTCTCTCTCTCTCTCCCCCTGTCTCCCCGCATGCAGTCCCGGCCTCCACTTCCGGCTCCTCGTGAGGGTCCTTCCAATTCTGGTCCCGCTCGTTTTTTTTTTGTGTTTTTGTTCTAGCCCTTTCTCTCCGCTCTCTGCATCCGGCCTCGTCCTCCTTCACCTCAGGGACCACCGCGGGCCCTATTTTCCTTATTCCCTTGTTTCCCCATTTCTCTATTTCCTGATTTCCTTAGTTCCCTATTTCCCTATTTTGTAGGAAAATAAAAAACGAAAAATAAACACAAAAAAACTACAAAAAAAATCAAAAAAACTCAAAAAACACATGAAAAACTACAGAAAAATTCAAAAAACTCAAAAACTCAAAAACAATTACAAAAAAAACCAGTTTAGGATTCTCAAAAAGGCACACCGCACACGAAGCAAGCTCAATAAACCCTAAACCCTAAACCCTAAAAACCCTAAAAACTCTCAACCCTATAAACCCTAAACCCTAAAAACCCTAAACCCTATACCCTAAAAACTAAAAACCCTAAACCCTAAAACCCTTAAGCCCTAAACCCTAAAAACTAAAAACCCTAAACCCTAAAAACCCTAAACCCTAAAAACCCTAAACCCTAAACCGGTGGGCAAGTTTTTCCTTTTCCTGGTGTCTCTTCCATGCTGTGATGCCTTCCATTTCACTGCATCCATCATGAGCGATCGCCTTGAAGATGTAGGCACGACCCGCTTGGCCGAATCGGCCTGAAGCCGTGCTGAGAACATCGCACGTGTGCCGCCCAGATTCACGAATGCATGCCAAACAGCTGCCAGCTTTCAGGATGAAGGGCACGCAAGCATTGCACTGACACTGCAGCCACTTGAAGCGGCCAGCAGCTTTGGAGACTTGGTCTTCGCCACGCCGAAGTGACTCTTCGATCTTTACCAGCGCCAAATCTTTCGCACCACGGCACCACATTCTGTCCTCTATCTGACATCGGATAATATCACATGCGCACTATATCAGCTTGCACCACTACTGGACAATAACACACACCGCCACCACCACCACCACCACCACCACCACCACCACCACCACCACCACCACCACCACCACCACCACCACCACCACCACCACCACCGCCACGAGAACAACAACAACAACACCACGATCCGTCTTCTATCCAACACGGGCTAAAGTCACGTGTGCCACACATCAGCATGCACCACCACTCGACCACAACCACACGCATCATCACACCACCACCGGCACCACCACCACCACTGTCACCGGCAACGCCACCACCGCCACTAACACAACCACCGACAGAGAGCGAGGCACTCGTTTTGGACCTCACCCCTCAGTCTGCGGTGCAGCGTTCGGCCCTAAGGCGAAAATGCTTAGGGTTTAGGGTTTATGGGGGTTCAGGGCTCAGGTTTAAGGGGTTTTGGGGTTTAGGGCCCTGGGCGGGTTTAGAGTTAAGGATTGTAGGGGATTCAGGGTTTAAACGATTTAGAGTTTAGTTTAGGGTCTCAGCGAAACTCCTGAAGTCTGGAATCTACCTCCAAATCCAACTGGTTTGTAGTATTGTGTTTTGAGGTATCTTCCGCATACCAGTGTCCAGGCAAGCATTTGTAGGCCCGGCATGGCTTTCTGGGGTGTCGGATACCTTGGGCTTATCATGTCCAGCATTTCGTACACAGATCTGGGAGTTTCCGAAAATAGCGGACCCCAATATAGTACCCTAAATAGTAGGATCCTTATTATATATAAGGACCCCAAAATAAGGTACCCCTTTTTTCGGAAACTCCCATGTAGTATACTGAGACCTCGTACCAAGAGTCCTGAGTTCCGGCAAACCACCACAAGAGCAGTCCTTAACAACTTTAACAGAGGTATTGGGTATGCACGGTAGATTATGCCTAGTTTATACAATGCTTAGTGTATGATTATTGTTTATGGTTAGTTCATAATAGACTTATGCTTTATACAGGTAAGTATACAAGCACTGAAAAGGGAGATCATCGAGAACTCTCAGCTCGCAAACCTGGGAGTGAAGCCATGAGCTCCAAAACCCCCAACTTACCCCTGAAGTTGCTCTTCGGGTTTAGATGGGAGTTTCCGAAAATGAGGGACCCTAATAAAGTAATTACCGAAAATAGTAGGATCCTTATTACAAGGACACCAAATAAGGTACCCCTGATTTTCAGGAACTCCCAGACTTTATAGGGTTCAGGGTTAGGCTTAAGGGTGCCCAACTCAGAAATATAGAGACCACATGAAGACAAGTAGTGGGCCATTTGCCCCGATGTTCACAGGGTACAGCGTGGGTCCTGCTTTTGCCTCATATGAAAGGTTTGGCAGTCGCTTTCCTTGGACTAGACGGGGATAGTCTTTCGTCAACTGAGTTGTCCTTTAAGCCCTTTGAAAATTATCTACTATCATGGCTCTCTACAAAAATAGTAGGGGGAGAATTACAAAAGATCCCAAAGGACAACCCAGAGACGGTTAGGGTTTAGGGTTTAGGGTTTAGGGGAGTGCTCCGGCCCCTGTGGGACAATTTCCTCAAAGTCTCCGGTGACCCATCGTCGGACAGAGCCAGAAGCCCCAGTCAAGATTCCTCTGGCAACCTGGGAGAGGGAGAGTGGCCTTAAAGGGAACTCCAGAAAGTTGGAATATGGATTGATGGTAGGATCCCCTATAATTTACCTTAAAGGGGTTACGATAATGATATTCCAACTTTCTGGCCTCTACTGTAATCATAATCATTGGAATAAGGTGCAGGGTTCCATAAGGGATCCACAAGTGCTCTGAAGGAAGACGAGTACCAACTTCTTCAGGCCCCCCCATGTTCATATTTAACTAGCAATACTGTATACCAGAACCCAATTGAGCAACATCTCCTGATAAACTGGTAAGAAACCTTGTATAAGATCAACATGTTAGAGTAAGACATACGCCAAAAACACTACGGTGTTTCAATTTCAAGCTCCCAGATTCAGGAGTAGAGTTGAAAGTATCAGAAGCCCAGGGAGCATGCGGGACAAAAGCTTAGTACGACTCACTCAACTCATTTTCTAGGAACCTCTCCCTAAAATTGCGACTTATTGCGTCGTGTCTGCAGCACGCCAATCCTCGAGGCTTAGGGGGTGCTGGAACTTGACTAGGGGAGGGTCTGGGGCCTTATGCGCTTTGTAAGGGCGAAGCGAATGGGTTTCTACTCTGGCAAGGAACAAAATCCGTTGCCCTTCATGCTTCCGGAGCACTGTCGTCGATGCGCCACCACTCGTTGGTTCGATAGTCCGTCTCGGAATCCTCGGGCGATTTTCGGGCAAGCTGAGGTACAGGCATGGACAGACACTCAACCCTTAGAACCCTTTAAACCCTAGACCTTGAAAGCCCAAACACGCTTCTTGGCAGCGCAAAAGCCCAAAGCGCGGAGACCCTTCCTTTCAATCCGAACCCAAGCCTTAGACTCGAAACCCCCAACCATCCCAAACCCAAACCGCCTAAACCCCTAAACCCCTCAGCCCTAAGCCCCAAACCCTAAATTCTCCTAAGCCCCAAACTTTAAATTATCCTAAACCCCAAACCCTAAATTCTCCTAAACCCTAAACCCCTAACCCTGAACCCTAAACCCTGAATGATCCTAAAACCCTCAACCCTACATGATCCTAAACCCTCAACCCTAAACCCTAAATCATCCTAAACCCTCAACCCTAAACCCTAAATGATCCTGAACCCTCAACCCTTAAACCATCCTAAACCCTACACCCCTAGGCGGATGGCCCCCCCGATCCCAGGCCCCGAGCCTCGTCGTCTGCCCCGATGATCGCAGCCTCGGTCCAGCCAACTAAGCTTCCATCGGCCTGGGCATCGGTTTGGGGCTTTAGGGCTTTGGGGTTTAGGCTTTAGGGTTCAAGGTTTAGGGTTTAGGATTTAGGGCTTTAGGGTTTTAGGATTTAGGGTTTATATAGAGTTTAGGGCTTTAGGGTTTAGGGCTTTAGGATTTAGGGCTTTAGGGTTTAGGCTTTGGGGTTTAGGCTTAGGATTTAGGCTTAATGTTTGCGGATTTGGTCTGTATTCTGTAGGTTTTGCGGGGCCTCACCGGCCTCGAGGATTCCACACCGACTTGCAATTGCGCCGAAACTCGAACAGCCAGACCCAGATCGTATTCCTCAGCCCTACTTGTGGCCGAAGCTGATTGAAGCATATGCCGAACCCCTCGTAAAGCTAAGTATTCAGGCTTCGGGGCGGACGGCATGCTTGCCTTGAATAGGGGCCTTTGCAACTGGAACAGGGTTAAAGGGGTGAGATCGTCACAGTTCAGCACGTCCTACATCCTAACTGTCGGCTCCAAGCCCACTTGGAGGTTCATGGGCAGTTTTAAATGGGGTTATAAGTCCCCTAATAGGGGTAATAAATTGTTGCCCTAATTGTAAGCCCAGTTATAGCTACCCATGAACCTCCAAGCAGAGACCCCAGACTCCACCGTAAGCCCCGAATCCGTGACACTCGTGCTCTCACGGTTTCAACTCTTCGGACTTGTGGCTGCTAGGATTCAGCAAAACTACCTCCGACCTCCAACCTCAAAGCCCTAATCCCACAAACATAATCACGAAACCTCGGAACCCCGAACCCGGACTTCAGCCCTGCGTCGTCGATCATGTTCGCCGTCTGCGAGGAGCCTGCGGTCCCCGGGCAGAAGTTGCACTGCCGCGTGCAGGTGTCGGAATGGTACCTCGATCTGGGCGGAAGCTGGGGGGTTCTCAGGGGCCTTAATTTGCCTCAATGATTAGAATAGGGCTTTAGGGGCCCATTCTACTATAGTTATAAGGAACCCCAGACATGGGGCCGGGGCCTTAGCTGAAGCGCGAAAGGCTTGGCGACTGTCGCGGGATGCGAAAAACCAGGGAGGAGTAGACAGCTCCCCGGTATCCTATGTATTGTATGATTCGCCAGTGTTCTTGAGCCTTACATGTCCCTAGGGGGCCTTCGAACAAAGAGCGCCAAGTACATTTTCATAGTCCACAACCACCGCACCGTATGGCTACATGGACCTACAGGGACCTCTGTTTGCGCAACACTTAACTTCAACTCTAAAACCTCCACCTCTACCTCTTACAGTAGAAGCCCGAAAGTTGGAAACCCAATAGCTTCAGTCCTTTAGAGTAATGTAATGGGAATCCCCGCACTATTTGGCCTTAATCCGGCTTCCAACTTTATGGAGTTTACTGTAAACCCAACACTCTGAAAGGTACGCCCATAAACTTGCTTGCGAACGAGAAGCGACTGGCATGCAAGGCGGTGGACGTGCCCTGGCGCTGAAGCTAATGAAGGGGCCTTAATAGTTAGAATAGGAGTGTGGGGCCCATTGTACTATAATCACAATAAGGAACCCCAAAAATAGAGTAGGTCATTATCTAGGTCCCTATATCAATGAAGGGTTTAGGGTTCCTTTGGGGACCCCTGGCCATGAAAGTAGGGAAGCGTCAGTGTAAGGCCTGCTATAAGGGTCGCTTTCTGGGGTTCCTACAAGGGTTAAGGTGAAGGAATTCAGGTTTTAGGGTTTCGGGTTTAGGGGTCTCAGGATTGGGTTTAGAGTTCTTTCGGGGGGGGGGGGGGGGGGGGAACTTCCACAGATTGCTGGATTTGGCACAGAGTTTAGTTTAGAGTGTGGGGGCTTAACCGGGAGGATCTTGAAAGTAGATCATCTAATTTGGGCCCCTATACTACTAAGGGTCCTATATGGGAACCCCATTAAGGGATCTACTTTAGGGTGCCAGGTTCCTTTCGGCGTTCCTGTAGGGCTTGGACGGGGGTTTAAGGCTTCGAGCCTTAGGCTTAGAGTGTGGATGGGTTTTGGGTTGCCGTTTGCAAAAGCCTCAATACCCTTGTTAGCCCAACACAATCCGTTTGAAACCCTAAGACGCTTGTAGAACCCTAACCCAAAGCTCTCGAACTCAATGCAGCGCCGGAGGGGCGCAAGCGCTGAGCCATGGGCGTCCCTTCGAAGCCGATGGCTTTCGCGTGGAACATGCCTCCGGCTTAGGCTCTGGGGTTCAGGGATAGGAATGTCATTGTTAGAAGCATTCGCCATAGGAGTCTGGTACCAGCACTCGTAAGCCGTGCGAGTACTGGCACTGCTCGTAGTACTAACACAATAACCTACTGGTAGCAACAACAGTTGCACACACACTAGCTGTAGCAGCACGATCAACAACTATAGTTCGTAGTGGTAGTAGTAGTCGTAGTAGTAGTAGTAGTAGCAGCAGCAGTAGTAGTAGTAGTAGTAGCAGTAGTAGTAGTAGCAGCAGCAGTAGTAGTAGTAGTAGAAGTAGTAGTAGTAGTAGTAGTAGTAGTAGTAGTAGTAGTAGTAGAAGTCGTGGTGGTGATTGTCGTGGTGGTGGTGGTGGTGCTGGTGGTCGCGCAAGAACTGAAACTCGATCAACGGCGCCTTGCGGCTTGAAGATGTTGCTGTGCGTCATGTCCTCGTGAGGGCTCAGAAAACGCAGGTTTGGTGGATCCCTAAAGCATGAAGCCGCCAGCGATTCCGTGGTTGGTGAGGCACCGAGGCGAACGCACTAGGGCAAATTAGGGTTTTGGGTGTAAGCTCAGGGCGTAGGGTTGGGGATCTAGGCTATGAGTCTGAGGGCTCAGGGTTTGATGGTTTAGGGTTTGGATTTCGGCCTAGGACTATGTGGGCCCACGTCGACTTGCTGACATCCCAGCCGGCCAGACAGCAGGCGACTCAATTTGCAAATGTTGGCTCTACAGTGGTATTAATTATTAATTATTAGAAACGGTTTGTCGGGGGCACATTGTGACGACTGTCTTAGTCTCGGGTTTGATGCTTCGGGCTTCCATTGTTCTGAATCTCCGATTCCGGCATCAGAACGCCAAGACATGGAAAAGCCCGAAGGACTTGGTGTAAAGAAGCAGGTGTGGTGCCTCATAGATTCACTTATCTTCCAGTCAGAACTCCAAGAAGACAACGGGGGGCTGGTTCCAAGTTGAGTACGAGGTTGCGGGGGATAGACTTCCTTCAGAAAGCGTCGCAGTGCCCACACACATAGGACCTAGGACTCTTCCAGACATTGGCATTGACAAGGAGAGCCGAATCCCCATGCGCCGGGGCTCCATAATTGCCACGTCGCCGTTGCGATCGAAGTTTCGGAAGACGACCTTTGGGGTGCATCCGCACAATCACGAAACCTAAGAAGCCCCAGGCCTTGACAAAGGCCCTGGCCCGAACCGCTGTGATAAAGTATCGAGGCTAGCGAGAGGGTCTCGGAACTTGTCAGTTGGATCGTAGGGTCTCAATGGGCCTACTGCTGAGTTTGTATAGGATTGTTGCGGATCATTATTTTGTAGGGGCTTGTATTGTAGGGGCCTTAAGAAGAAATAGGGTGTTGGAGTGCGTCATAGTAGCATGACATACAGTGAAAGCCAGAAAGTTGGAATATGAATATCCTAAACCCTTTATGGTAAATTATAGGGGATCCTACCATTAATCCATACTCCAACTTTCTGGAGTTCCCCTTAAGGACTACAGAGAAAACCTCTTCAGTCTGGCGACCTAAAGAATGAGACCAGGATTTCGGGGGAGTGTGATGCCATGCAGATGATATCGGCGAAGCCTCCCAGAGACTCGAATATCCCTTAATTAAGGAATATGCCTTAAACTATAGTAGCATCCCTAATATGATTTAGGGAATATTCCTGAATTAAGGGATATTGGAGTCTCTGGGCCTATTGGCGCGTTTGGGCTCCTTCGGCTTCAGCTCCCCCGGCAACACGGGGTCATCCCTCCCTCTGGCTCTCCGAACCCGGAGGCTCCACTTGGCCCCTCTCAGAGGAAACGCCCCAGGCCGTCTGATCATCCGGATAGTGTGTATATATATATATATATATAGTATATACAGCATATATATATATATATATATGTATAAATCGGATAGTCGTCAACGGCAGCCGGCTCCCCTCAAGCTGCAAGTCCTCCAGGCTTTCAGCGTCAACCTGTGGCTCCTCGGGCAGACGCGGTCCATGCTCCCCCTCGGTCTTGGCTGAGTCCATCTGATTCTGCAACCACACTTGGGAGTTTCCGAAAAATAGGGGCAACTTATTTTGGGGGTCCTTCAGGATCCTACTATGTAGGGTAGTATATTAGGGTCCCTTATTTTCGAGAACTCCCACTGCCGCTTCTTGGGTTTGGGAATCCTGGGCTGAGTGGGCTTGCTGGAAGACCTCATCAACAACTCTGGGCCTAATCACATATTAGTACTCTGAATAGTAGGATCCTTATTATAAGGACCCCAAACTAGGTACCCCTGCATCAAAAACCTTAGTCGCAGTAGTCTAATCACATTCCTCAAACCCTGTTTGGACCCCTTCAGGACCCTTTGAAAGCTGAGATGTACTTGAAGACCCCCTTGGGATGCCTGCTTGTCCAGATTCCTTGGAGAACTACAGGCTGTCCTCTGGGAGTTTATAGGAAGTACATTAAACCCAGAAGGCTCCAGTTTTGCCTACTCTTCTGCTACGAGGTTACATATGCTGCGGAGTAACAGGCAACAATCAATGGAAGAAGACCTCTGCTAGGTGGGGCTTTTAAAGCCTTTGAAAAATATTAGTAAATAAGATCCTCTTAAGCCCAATAAGGGAAAATCTAAAATGTCCCAAAGCCCTACCTTGTCCGTAAAGACGACGGAGTGAGACTCATCTTCGTGGGAGCTGATGTCCGAGGCTCCACGACCGTTAGGTGCGGGCTATGGCTTTGGGTTTGGGGCTGCGTATCTAAGCCTCAAGACGAAACCTTAGTCTGCTTTAAGGTTTATAGGGCTTTATGACTCAACCCTGAGTCCGAAACGTCGGCGAGAATGGTCTGCATATCCGTGTCATACCTTGGCTCAGGGTTGAGACTCTGTGCTCATGGTTCAAGCGATGCGCGCCGAAACGCTAGAACTGTGAATCGGACGGTCCCCGATCATACCCCCCAAAACCCTAAACCCTCAGCCCGGGCCGTTCCTCATGTCATGTCCAGCCGTGCCAAGGGGGCTTTGGCATCAAGGAAGAGTTGGCCATAAAACAAGCTATCAAAGACTTCTTTTTCAAGCTGATTCATCTATACCAGCCCCTAAGACCTAACAAGACATCCACTAAAACACTATGCCCAAACCGCTTTGTACTCGCCGTCTAAAGCCTCTAGCAGGAACCCTAGCTACAAATAACAAGGGTGCCCTTATTGGTTTAAAAGGGTGTTATTATAAGGGAACCTAAATCCTGAAAAAAATAAGGGCGTACCCGGGGTCCGACAGCGACAGCACTACTCAAGAACACATTGGAGTAAGAAAATGAGACTCTTGATTTTGCGATTGATAGGGTCTACATAAAATACCAAGCACTGTTAAAGTAAGAAAACCAGGGTACCCTCGTCCACGAGTCTCATTTTCTTATTTCGTTCTGTCATACTCGTGGTCTTTAGCTGGTTTCTGGAACAAAGGAGAATAAGAACATGCCAGAGTCTCGTTCTCTTATTTAGGTGGGTTCTGGAACGAAGGAGAATAAGAAAATGCCAGAGTCTCGTTTCTTATTTAGGTGGGTTCTGGAACGAAGGAGAATAAGAAAATGCCAGACCCTTATTATAAGGACCCCAAAATGAGGTGCCCCTATTTTTCCGAAAACTGCCATGTGGGAGACGGTTGGTTAGTAGGGAATGGCGGAATGGGGTACAACTCACGGTTTAAGGGTTTAGGGTTTAGGATTTAGGGGTTGGGTACAACTATAACTACTATTACTACCATTCTTCCATCCCTACTAACCAAAGGTAAGTTATAGGATTATTAAGGCCCCTATATTCTAGTACCCTTATATAGATCCCTTTTAGTAACCCTTATATGGGAGCTTCGGGTTGAAAGACTCGGATTTCAAGTTTAGGCCTCCGGCCCCTGTAGCATAGGGGCCTGGAGAATCAACGAGCCGGAATGGGCGGTACTGTTGGTGGTCGAAACCCCTAGGGTTCCTTTAAAGGGATCTATAAGGGTAGCTTTAAGGGGCTCCTTTAAGGGATCTATAGGGGGTTTAGGGTTTAAGGTTGATGATATAAATCCTGCATTACCTTAAGGACCCTAAACTATGGGAACTATGGTATATTCCTTATCATGGGTAATGCAGGATTTTGTCCATCAGCAGTATCATGATACATGGCTATGATCATGTAGGGGCTACAGCAAGATACCAACTCTGACCTATTCTTTTCAAAAATCTCTCCTTGTCTCTCTGTGTCTCTCTTGTTATTGATCTCCTTATTCCTTCATTTGTGCAGGTACATTATCAATTCGGAGAATGCGTGCCTCAGGGGAGGAGGAGGGACCCTAAACCCTAAACCCAAAATCCCAAACCCCAAACCCAAAATCCCAAACCCTAATCCCTAAATCCCAAACCCTGAACCCTAATCCCAAAATCCCAAACCCTAAATCCCTAAATCCCAAACCCTAAACCCTGTAGGTTGAAATCCTCGCCTCGCCCCATAAGACCGAGATGACGATACGCGTAGTTCTTGAAATTCGGGTCCCGGTTCAGGTACCGACATTGGGGGGTTTTTGGGTTTAGGGTTTGGGATTTAGGTTTTAGGGGTATTGGTACTACAAAGAACCCGAAAAGGGGACCTTAGTATGCCTTCTACAATAGGACCCTAAAAGGGACCCAAAAAGTTAGGGAACTTGAGAACTCCCCATATCAGGCACTTCTAGACTCCTGCAAGTCGCAGCTCGAAGCCATCTGCAACGCGTGGGAGGTCCCCGGCGAAGGTGTTGCCAGTGTGCGCGCTAATTACGGCCTTGTACCTGGGAGGTTCGCGTCCCTTCAAAAAAATTTGGCATGCTGCGGCTTGGGGAGTAGAGCAATTACGATTTGAGTTCTATGGGGCCAACTCTTATTGGCTTGCATACAGTGTCTTTAATCGTCACAACAAGCTCATGCTTGCATTATTACATATTCCGTCACAGGGTTCGAGGCCCGTCTGTCAGGATTGGGAGCCAGGTTCAGAAATATGCCCTTTGAAGTCCAAGCTGGTCCTAGAAACAAATAAGTCCACGCAGTGGCTCTCACATGCATGCACAAAAGCAGGCAGTGCCTGTCCACCTTGCCCAAGCAGACCTGATCCGAAGTGAAAATTGACTTGAGCGCCAAGGCGCATATAGGTGTCCCCCAGCTGCGAGGAGCTGCGCGAGATGTCATGAGCTTCGAAGCCTTTCCACAGGAACACGTTTCGTTCAGCCCCACAGCATCCGAGACTTCCTCCTACTGTTGAAAGACTTTGATGTCGTCCTGACTGTTACGTCTGGTTTTAGAAACGACGAACATCGTTTTTATCTGGAGTGCCAGGTTGAAGCAAATCGCCGGATTAGGGGACTTTGAGTATGTTTTGGTATGCATAATGACTCACCCTTTGTATACCTCCAAGCAGCCTAAACCCAATTTTCCCCACATCAACCCTCCAATACTCCTCAAAACACATAAACCCAACTAAATCCCAGAAAATGCTTGAACAAACGGAACGCCGGAAGGCTGGAACATGCGTTGGGATGATTCGAGCAGCAACTCCCTGCACTCTACTCGAAGGGTCATGATGTGCCAATTTTCTGGGGCGTCATTTCCCCTCCAACTCCTTACATAAAGCTTCCTTGTGGATCTGAGAAAGGCAAGCCTCTGGGCCCAGATGACACAGAAGCCGTAAGGCAAATAAGCAACCATCCTTCAGTACTTAAATGTATCTGTAGGCCTTTTAAAATAGAATGGGGTGTTGGGGCCCATTATACTATAATTACAATAAGGAACCCCAAAACAATATAGGTCATTCTCCAGGCACCCAGATAAGATCCCCATTATAGCAATCCTTGTCGACCCCTTGAAAAGAAACCCTGAAAGGAACACCTTAGGTAACTAAACCCCTAAACCCTGAACCCCAAACCCTAAACCTTAAACCCCTCTTCCCCCAACCACAAAATCCCCTTAAAGGAACCCTTAGGCAACTCAACCCCTATAAACCCTACACCCCTAAACCCAACCCCCCCCCCCCCCCCTTGGCGCCTTCGAGGGCTAGGTCGGGCTTACGCGCGGACCAGTGGGTGCCTCAGGACGTCCGGTCTCGAGTTGAAGCCTAAACCCTAAACCCTAAAACCCTAAACTTCTAAGGGTTTACTGTAGGGGCCTTAAGGGCGCGCGTTTATGGTATAGTGAAAAAAGGAACGCTATAGGGAACAATGTGGGTAATTATTTAGGCTTCTATATTCGGGCTGCTGGGGTTTAGGGTTTAGGGTTTTTAGCGGCTCTGGGCTTTCAGGGTTTAGGGTTTAGGGGTTTAGGGTCTGGGTTTTTGGCATTTCAAGGGCAAGCCGGTTTCTGCCATTTTAAGAGAAAGCATAGCCCAACTTTCAGTCGCATCATGCCGTTGGAACTTCTATTTCGAAAACAAACCACCACTTATCAGGACCCGAGATGATGTGGTCTTGTTTCTCCGAGATGGGTGGTTGTCAAAATTACGGCCCCTTTTGGGGTCCCTATTATACTACGGCACCCAATATTTAGGGTACCCAAAAAGGGACCCCAATATTGACAACCACCCAAATGGACGCCACCCAGGGCTGGGTTTTGTGGCATAGTCGGGGTAATGCCAATTACTCATTTTCCTCTCACTCTAGACTCGAGTTCTTGGGAGTCAAATCACCCGTAGAAGAATTGATCCCCACACAGAGATTTCTGTTCATCTGTTCAACCATGTGGGAGTTCCAGAACACAAAGCATGCCTCATTTAGGGGACTTCTTCTCATTAAAGGAAACTGTATTCGGGTCCCCTATTCTCGGGATTTCTCGGGAACGCCCATATATCCCTCCTTGCCAATGCTCGCAACACCAAACTCTGACGTTCGGATCCCTCATACAGGTGCCTGAAAACGTCGACTCGGGCTCGAACTGTTTGGGGGGTATAAAACAATGCGGGGCCCCTAACGAAAATAGTCATGAATTATTCCGGACCCTTCATAAGCTCCAACCCCAAACAAAGCAGGCCCCTAGAAAACCCCTTGCAGAACCTTTGAAGGAACGCTGAGAACCCAGAATCTGACCCAGAGCTCTGAATTTCACAACCTTCAAGCCCTGACACCGGAAACTCAAACCTTGAACCCCAAACCCTACTGAGGATAGACAAGATCTGGATGATACCAGATAGACTGATGCAATCATGCGATAGCCCTTATCATGATCATGCTTGGATCATTTAAGAATAGTGGTTTGGAGGAGAATCCAAATGCAAAACGTTTTCAGGCATGCCGCCCCAGAAGAGGAAGCCCTTCTTGCAGGCGAATACCTCTCTCAAGGCAGCTGAACAAGCTGCTTGACAACCCTTAGTAGTTAGAATAGGATTTGGGGCCCACTATTTCATAAGTATAATAAAGAAACCCCCCAAAATAGGTGCCCAATAACAATATTCCTTGGCTGACTTCTGAACCCTTCCTAAAAGTTAAGCTTTTAGCCTCCTTATTCTAGTTCATATAGAAACCCCAAACGCTACGGTCCTAAGAGCCAACCAGAAGAACACCAAGAATCCTTAATCCAGCGCCTTCAACTTCCTAGGACTTCTTACGTCAAAGGGTAAAAGGAGGGACCGTTAATAAGGACCCCTAGGTATATACCCATAATATAGAGGGTAGGGGTCCCCATTAAGGGTCCCTCCTTTGCCCCTTTGATTACGGTTATGACGTAAACTTGATGTTCTTCTGGGTCCCCCGGTGAGGCTCTTCCCTAAACTACCAGCAGACCTTATTTCTTTGTTTGGGACCCCCGGAAAAGATGATACTCGCTTTCCCGAACCCTAAACAAGCAGGGTAAGATATGGTAGTTTGGGGTCTTATTTCAAGGCCGAGGGATCGGAGTTCCGGTGTTTTGGGACCGGGGCCAAGATCCAGCAAGAATTTTCAAACTGCTATCCTATGCAGACAATTGTTGCTGTTCACGATTCGACCACGACGACGATGCCTGACAACGACGACGTCAACGTACCACTGCATTCATCATCGAGGCTGAAGACTGATAAACAATCACCCCAATAGCACAAAAAACGACAAGACGATAAACGCCGGATAGCAGTAGCAACAGCCACAATAGGCAAGATGCTGAACACGAAGGCTGAGTCCCGCAAGCCCTAAGCCAGAAAACTGCGCCACCTTTTTTTTCCGAGGGAACTCCTCGCACCCGAACCAACCAAAACCCCTCAACGATCCTAAATGCATCAATACGTTCCCCCAAAACCTAGAGAGTTTAGAGTTTAGGGTTTATAGGAAACAGAACTACAATCCTAACAACCTTGCAAAGCACCCTAAACAAAAGCACAGAACGCTTCAACAGGGGACCTACTCCCAGTAAACCCCAAAGCCTAAACCCTCTACATAGGCTCTATCATCTACCCCGAAGCCTAAACCAGCAATACCCTCCACCCTATAATCCCTAATCCCGAAAACCCCAAACGCCAACCCCTACTAACCCTAACCCACTAAAGCCTAATCCCTAAACCCCTGATCCCTTTAATGTAGGGGCCTTAACAACTACAATCGGGCTTTGGAGAACTCTATACGATATCCATGATACGGAACCCCCCAACATAATGTAGGTAATTCGTAAGGCCCCAAAAGTGAACGCCTAAAGCCTATTCCCGAAACCCCTGATCCCTTCAATATCGGGGCCTTAATAATTAGAGTCGAGTTTTGGAGTACCCCCGAAAATTATGTAGGTAATTAGCAAGGCCCCAAAAGTGAACGCCTAAAGGCTGCCTTGGTGTTGGTCATGAAGAAGCGTCCCGACTTTCGGGCAGTCGCCCGGCCCGTGATGTAGCGGTACACTTGGGAGCCCTTCTGGTCTTCCTAGGGCGTGTGGCTTTTCCCTGAAGGACCTACCTCTTTAAGGACTTATTTAAAGAATTCATAGTAAGGAACCCTAGAAAGGTACAGTAGGTCCAGAAAGGTATATAGGTCCTTCAGGGTTAAGGTAAGGCTTATGGGGTTTAAGGTACGGCTTAGGGGTTATGGTAGTAGGGTTTGTGGTTGAGGGTCTAGCTTTCAGGTTTTAGAGCTTATAGGGTTTAGGTAAGGCTCAAGGGCCTCACAAGCGTTATGAAGATTTCTAGGGTGTAAAACGAAATGAAACCAGGCTTCTACTTTTGGGCCTCTACCGGAAACTGAACAGTGCTTTGTGGCGTCTTGACAGAAAAGACGAGCCATTCTGGTCTAAGGATCAAAGGATCAGGCATTATGGTTGCCTAAAAGAATAATATTGGTAATTATTTGGGCAGGGTTTGATAAGGCTCCCTGTCGGGGGATTGGGGCTTTCTGGTCTTCTAGGGCTCAAAGGTTCCCCGGGTCTGGAGTTTAAAGATCTCTAATGTAGGAACCTGACTAAGAAACCTTGGGCCTTTACTAGGGTTCCCTGTATGAATCCTACTATTTTGGTGGTTATAGACCCAGCGTTTCTTGATCAGGTTTCTACATTAGGGTTCAGGGTTGGGCTGTAGGTCTTAATGGGTCGATGATAGTGCACCCTTACAGCCCCGCACCCGTATAGCCCGAAACCAGGCTAGCTGCGGTGGGCCAAAAAACCCTCCGCCGAGTGTCCCAGAGCTCGCCCCCGACGTACATGCAGGCCCCTCGGCTCCAGATTCGTCCTTCGTCAGGGGTCTTGATGCTGGATTTAGGAGCAGATTACCGGCATCCCTTGAGGGGTCTTGACTCTGACTACCGCGCGATGAAAAAAGCATACCTCACCGACGATACGTAACTAGACGAATCGGTGCATTCAAACACCTCATCCTACGAACATCTTGGGTCAGCACCCTATTAGCAATCCCGAGACCCTGTCAAACTCTGAAGCCTAGACCCTCAAAAAAAGCCCAAAACACCTCTAAGCCCCACCATGAAAGCTGTCCCAGAGGCCCCCCCCAAAAAAAAAAACACTCCCAAAGGCCCCCCCAAAACCCCCAAGCCCGTCTCCTGAGGAGTGAGCCGTGTTCGAGTCAAACTCCAGGAGTTCCATCTCATCGGGGCGGTAGGCCTCTCGGGACTTCAGGGCTTCTACCTAGAGGTTTAGGGGTTTAGGGGTTTAGGGGTTTAGGGTTTAGGGTTTAGGGGTTTAGGGGTTTAGGGGTTTAGGGGTTTAGGGTTTAGGGGTTTAGGGGTTTAGGGTTTAGGGGTTTAGGGTTTAGGGGTTAGGGGTTTAGGGGTTTAGGGGTTTAGGGGTTTAGGGGGTTTAGGGGTTTAGGGGTTTAGGGTTTTAGGGGGTTTAGGGGTTTAGGTTTAGGGTTTAGGTTTAGGGGTTTAGGGGTTTAGGGGTTTAGGGTTTAGGGGGGGGGTTTAGGGTTTAGGGTTTAGGGGTTAGGGTTTAGGGGGTTTAGGGGTTTAGGGGGGTTTAGGGTTTAGGGGGGTTTAGGTTAGGGGTTTAGGGGTTTAGGGTTTAGGGGTTTAGGGGTTTAGGGTTTAGGGTTTAGGGTTTCCTACGTTCCGCGCACACCACCACGCGGGACGTGTGTCGTGGTGTGCGCCGGGGTTCACCGCTCTGCCCAACCCACCCGCCCACATCTCAACCTTGACGGGTTTAGGGTTTTCAAATTGTGTTGTGTGCAGCTCGCCGCCGAAAGACTTTCAAGCTTCAAAATGGGTTCCTAGAGACCAGGATCGGCCCAAAAGTGCTCAATTGCTAATTAATTAGAAGCGCTACGGGTTTATGGTTTGTTCTCCGGCTTCGGGTTGATGGTTCGTTCACTGGCTTCTGGCTGCCCAGAATGGGGGGGACCCCGACTTCGGCCACCGGCCTAATTAAAAGTGCCTTTTTATGAACAGAATTTATGACCCAAAATACCCACCCACATCCCTAAACGGAACCTTAAACGAGAATCCTAAAAGGTACCCTAAACGGAACCCTAAACGAGAATCCTAAACGGAACCCTAAACGGAACCCTAAACGGAACCCTAAACGAGAATCCTAAAGAAACCCTAAACGAGAATGGGGGGGACCCCGACTTCGGCCACCGGCCTAATTAAAAGTGCCTATTTATGCACAGAATTTATCACCCAAAACACCCACCCAAATCCTAAAAAGAACCCTAAACGAGAACCCTAAACGAGAATCCTAAACGGAACCCGAAACGAGAATCCTAAACGGAACCCTAAACAGAACCCTAAACGGAACCCTAAACGAGAATCCTAAAAGAACCTTAAGCGGAACCCTAAATGGAACCCTAAACGAGAATCCTAAACGGAACCCTAAACGGAACCCTAAACGGAACCCTAAACGGAACCCTAAACGGAACCCTAAACGAGAATCCTAAAAGGAACCTTAAACGGAACCCTAAACGAGAATCCTAAAGGAACCCTAAACGGAACCCTAAACGGAACCCTAAACGGAACCCTAAACGAGAATCCTAGAAGGAACCCTAAACGGAACCCTAAACGAGAATCCTAAAGGAACCCTAAACGGAACCCTAAACGGAACCCTAAACGAGAATCCTAAAAGGAACCCTAAACGCAGGAAATCCTAAACGGAACCCTAAATGGAACCCTAAACGGGACGCATAGACCCAAGTGCTAAAAACCGAGGGTTTGGGGTTGTTCTCTTTAGGGCCAGCCTGTCGCTGGCACGCGGGTTCGACCTTCCATGCGTGGGCCGCGCTCACCGCGCGCTCCGGCCCCTCGCCCTCGCAAGGCTCACGCCTGCTCGCTCGGGCTCGTCCGCGGGCCTGTCGCCACGCGGTATCGCTCGCCGCTGGCCAAGGCAGCGCCCGCGGCTCGCTCCAGTTTAGGGGTTTAGGGTTTAGGGTTTAGGGTTTAGGGGGGTTTAGGGTTTAGGGGTTTAGGGTTTAGGGTTTAGGGGTTTAGGGTTTAGGGGTTTTTAGGGGTTTAGGGTTTTAGGGGTTTAGGGTTTTTAGGGGTTTAGGGGTGGGTTTAGGTTTTAGGGGTTTAGGGGTTTAGGGTTTAGGGGGTTTTAGGGGGTTTAGGGGTTTAGGGTTTAGGGGTTTAGGGGTTTAGGGGTTTAGGGGTTTAGGTTTAGGGTTTAGGGGTTTAGGGGTTTAGGGGTTTAGGGGTTTAGGGGTTTGGGGGTTTAGGGGTTTAGGGGTTTAGGGGTTTAGGGTTTAGGGGTTTAGGTTTTAGGGTAACCCCCAAGTAGCCTCTAAGAAATACCCCTGAATACCCACCATGAAGGGCCATGAGGCTTCTATCACAGGGCCCTTAGTGGAGGGTCCTGGTGTTATCTTGTTTGTGGTGTTGTGGTTCGAGGGGGGGGGGGTGAGTTGATAAGGATTTTCGGCTACTGCTTGTAGGGTCTCATTACGGCTTACTTATGGGCCAACTTGTCGGGTATCATGGGGAAGTAAAGGTTAACCTTTTTGGCTATATGGGGATTATATAGGGACTATACTACCCAAAACGGGTTAAAGGTTGCCTGCTAGGTGGGAGTATCTCATGCACGGTCCGTATCGCACGGTGGGGTTTAGTGGAATTCGGGATCATGGAGGGGCCCTCGCCTGGTTCTTGGCATAGCTGTCGCCGAGGGCGTACTCCACGCGAGGGAAATGAAACCCGGAGAAGCCGCCACCTGAGATCTGCTGATTAACATGGTTTCACTCGGAAACCCTAAACCCTAAACCCCAAAAACCCCTGAACCCTAAACCGGTAGCCCGGTTTAAAACACGGTGTCTTAGGTCCCTTTAGTGACTGCTACGGGCTGGAAAGAGTACGCCACTCATCGAAACAAGACCCTAGTAAGGACCCATATCAAGCGTGCAGCTGAGAACTTCCCAAACACGGACCTGCCGAGAAATCTTCAAAGCAAGCGGAGCTTGGTTTAGCCAGGCACCAAAAGGTACACCAATCATTACAACATGGCTTTGGGGTATACTATACCGAACAAACTACTAGGCGACTCTCAGAAACCCCGATCACACCCTTGGAATCGAAACCAGGCTATGAAACCCTGCTTTCAAGCCTAAGCCTAACCCCAAAAGCCCTAAGCTCAAAGGATACCCTCCAGGCACCACAATTCATGCACGAATGCCTGGGTTTTAAGGGGTTATCGGGCAGTACCTCTGACAAAGAGCCCGGCCCCCCAAGCAGCAAATCCAGAACCTCCGAGCACAAAGCCAAGGCTAAACTCTAACTGGGTTGTACTTAATTGTTCCCGCAGGTATGTATGAATAGGTACCTCTGTAAAACCATGACGGTAATTTGAAGTGTGCCCCAAAGCTTCACTTAGCTGCACAGAATCCCCAAAGCCTCAACCGAACCAAGCCTACAACTCTCAAGCAAGATCCAAGCCGGAACAAAGGTGCCTTTATGATTAAAAACAAGAGTAATTATGGAGCCTTTATCGCGAAGAAATATAGGGAGACAAAGTTGCTACAAAGGAGGACTACTACTAACTCTTCCTGACCTCCTTTGTTCACCTTCAAAAATGAAACTCAAGACACACACACACACACACCCAGAGACTCCAATATCACTTAATTACGGAATATACCTTAAGTTATAGTAGGATCCCAAATATGAGTCAAGGAATATTCCTTAATTTAGGGATATTGGAGTCTTTGGGCACACACCCAACTCCACTCGCTCCCAACGGGCTCATTGCTCCCTAGCGAAGGCTGAACTTGTCCGAAATTTTCAAGATTGCGATCTCAGCTTAATGACGAATCAGAATACTCCAAAACATCGGAAGCCCGAGTAGCTTGCAGAGTTGCCAATCCATCGATTTTTCGCATTCGTGCAGTAGAACCTCACTGACCAAGGACTCGCAGGTGATTTTATTGTGGCTTACACCACCCTCAAGACGGATAACGCGCCATAACATACAAACCAAAGACCTGTTTACCCAAACTCAGGACACTCGAAGTTTCTTCGAATGCAGAGAAGAATTGGATGCTCCTTAGGTCCTGCAAAGCCTTTGGGCTGGATTCTGGGGCTTGAGAGGGCTTGTTATGGATCCTATACTAGGCTATGAGAAGACTGTAATGAAGGGTCTTCTAGGATTTGTATGCAGGTTTTGCAGAGGATCCGACAAACCATTCGAGTATCTCCGGATGTAGGGACCAGTACCTAGACCATCGTGGGTTAGATCATGGGATGACAGATTTGCGCAGCTGTAATTCATCACGGGAGTGCATGCATGAACTTATCTACGAACGACCGTGCATCTACAATGCTTGATCGCACAAATACACGCAAGCATACATGTTGTTTGTAATATGGGTTTACGTACGCTTCCAAACGGGTCCAATCTTTTGCAAGTATGCGTGCATGCGGCATGCTCCTGAATCCAGCCCAGCTACCCCACTGCAGTGGCATCAGTGGGTACGATGCGGCTTGCCTGCCATCGAGGGGACTTTGTTGAAAGGCTTGTCCCTTGCATTGCAGCGTGTACCCCGAATCCTGGAAGCGAGCCTGCTACTTAGTTCGGCTCCCACAATTCGCTCAAGTTTGAGGTTCGGGTTCGCGCCTGTACGGCTTCAGGGCTTGGTAGAGTGCTTGATGGTCGAGGGATTGCCGCTCAGACAGGCCAAGCCAAAGACCCAAAATATCGCTTCAAATGGCATGCTACAATTCCTCTACAACTTGCAACCCAAGGGATCGGAGACCTTATAGTTCTCCCGGAAACCCAAACTCAAAAGGCCCAAACGACCCTAAGCCGTATATCCCTAAACCCTAGCCCAAACTTAGAGTCACTGAGATCTGAACCTAAGCTCCTCTCAGCTCAACCTGAGCCATGGCCTGTGTCTCCACTCGGACGCCTTCCTGGCCGCCACCAGCCTACGGGACTTCACGAGGCTCAGGCTGTAAGGGCTCCTTCACTGTTCCCCATCAAGGATCCTTTGATAGTTAGTATCGAGGGCTTACTATGTGGGGCCTGAACAAACCGACTAGAAGTTTGGATGTAATGTACAATACAAAGTGTCTTGAGTCATCCTTAGGCACCCAAATATTCCTGTGTCACCACGGGTTCGGGTTTACACTCTCCGATTTCGTTACTTCCCAAGGCTGACCAAGTTCATATCTATGACACGTCACTGTAATAAAGAACCTGGTAAACCCCACAAAAAGTGCTACTTTGGAGAGTATGGGTAGAGTGTGCTCCTGAAGTACTATGAATCATTTCTTGACCGAAACAGCACGGCACACTGGCACGATGGACCTTTGGTGGGGAGGGGTTTTTGCGGTTCACTGTAGGACCTGAATTCTCGAAAACACCGAGGTTCCAAGCGATGGCGGGACAAGAACCCAGATCCCTACTTGATGGATTCCCAAGCGCCCCAAACCCAAGCTGTGGTGGGAGCCAGAACAATTTCAACCACTCGGCGGCCTCGTAATCGTTGAGGCGGTCGATGATGTGAACGAAAGCTGCCAGGTTGTAGTCAAATAAGTTATCCTCTTCCTCGGAATGTTATTGCCGTGATCTCACCAGCTCAACTATAAGGCCCTTGGTGTTGAAATGGTTTCATAAAATTACGCAAACCCTTTCAGTGCCTTCACAAGTAAGCATACAGACGTAGATCTGAAGCCCTCCGCGATCTATATCAGCGCGGCATGCCGCACCAAATTGCATCCTAACATTAGGGTCTTGATTGGAAAGGAGCGTCGGGGGCTTGCAAGCGTTTGTAGCGCTTCATAGCTACGGCCTCAATCCTAAAGTAAACTACAGCCTAAACCCAAACCCCAAACTCTAAACGCACAAAAAACAATCAAGCCCACTCTGACAAGCAGAGTCGCGACACCGTCTTCCAGGTAGTACGCGCTGCCGGACACATCGTAGGCAACGTTGCGAGAAACCCGAGAGTTCGATGTGCCATGGACCTCGAAGCGAGGGTCTCTACGAGAGTTAAGGTTAGGGATTGTGTAACGGTTGTTCGGAAGCAAGCAAGCTGGTAGGGTTTCATGGGAAGTGGTTCGAGGAGGGGAAGATTAAGGGACTTACTCAAAAGGGCACGGGTCTTGTGGTCTTGGGGTTTCTACTGCGAGGCTTCCAAAAAGCAGTCAAGGAGTCCTACATGGGTTGCTTGGAAGGGTTTCTGTACACACTAGAAAGGGATCCAATACTAGAGCTTTCAACTCGTAGTCTTCAGAATGGTAGTAGTCGCTTTGCGGGCGAGCGCCTAGCGTTGCTTCCTCTAATTCATCTAAAATTGCATGTAATCTAGCATTGCATTTTCTTATGTTCCTTCGCTGCTCTAACCAATCTTTCTTCACTTGATCGTTTTCTTTCTTGGGAAAGAAACATTCCATTTCTACATTATACAGATTTCTTTCCAATTTTTGCTTCAAATAATGTAATTCAAACTCCTACAACTCTGTGTCCGTCTTCATCACCTCAATGTCTGTTTCAGTGCCTTGTACTCTTTGGTCGCATTCCTCAGGTGTTATACAATGACTTCCAAAAGCAGTATCACATATTTCAACGCTTCCGACTTGTTCCTCAGTTTTGAGTTTGTTGTTTTCAAAAAGTGATACATCACATCCAATAGAACCAAACGTCAACATTCGTCTATCATCCGTAACATTTGTTGTAACTATCTTGTTTTGCTTTGTTGTCTCCGTCTCCTTATGATAGGATTGTCTTTTGCATTTACAAGTAATACAAGATATACCGTTCGCCTCCAAATCGAGGCCACACTCTTCGTCACTCTGAGCCTATTGCGCCCCGTTTCTCAAAGCTTTCACAGCTCTGAGCAAGCAGAACGGAGGGTCTAGGGTATGCAGAAAAACGTTGTTACACCCTTTGATTTGTAGCTGGCAATTACAGCCATGAATCACATCAACGTTGAGATCGCTACGATCCCAAACTGGAAAAGCGCAAAAGGGTGCTACTCCACAGCACGACCGAAAACTTCTAGACTAGTTCAACGGTCCCCGGATGAAGATCAAACGAAACTCGTTGTAGGAAACTCAAATCAACAACGCATGTATATCCCACGTGTTTCACATGGCTGCACGTCAAACATACCCCTCATGGTGGACCCGGCCCACGCTGCAATCTCAGCGGTTGCGATTACGACGGCGTCGATTGCCAACAAGCTCCTTGATCACATCCGCGACTGATTTCAACCATCTGATGCATGGCTCATACCCTTGCATGAGAGCAGTATGGATTGCCATACTTCTGATCGCCTTCGCATCCTTCGTGATTGAACTACAAGCTGTGATATGGAAAGCAAAACCGAACCTTGGAGCTACCTGGACTTGTTGAACTGAAAACCCACGATCGCAAACACGTCTCGCACGATAAGCGCGAAGATCATTCTCGTCCAACGCGACATTGTGGGTAGGTGGATCTTGGGGTCCTCCGTGTCGACCTTGATATGCATGATGTAATGGTTCATCTCCGCGTCCTTCTCGATGTAGTTGATCTCGGTGATGCTCTGGATGATGTAGATCTCATTGTCCTGCGGCGTGGTTCATGAAGAATTGGATGTCCCCCTTCAGCTTGTCCTCGCTCGCTTACGCCCTGGTGGTTCCAGAAGATCCGCTCGATGATGCGCCACCCAAGGCAAGTACCGATTTGCCAAATCATCCCGAAGAAGATTAGCAGCATAACTGCACACAACCAAGCCCGAAACAACGCCTCGTCGGACCAGCTGACTGTAAAGACAGCGTTCATGTTCCACGATGCGCTCGGGTGCCCATCCTTTCTCGTAGGTGGTTCCTTTGTGCACCTGGGGATCTTTGATTTTTCTATGCATGTCATTCTCGGAGGAGTGCTCCCAGGTACTTCTGTGATGCTGCTGAAATTCGGGATTCGTTGCTCACATTTCGCTTCGACTTGGTCTTACTTCGGACAGGTCCTTCGTTGTCTGACTCGAGTGAAAGCTCACACTCTCCGGACTTCCTAAGGAGTGTTCAACAGTTTTGACACGTATTTTTGGTTAATCTGCTCTTCTCCGATCGCTTCTCACCCATTAGCGTATCCTTATACAAATCGGTTATGGTGTTAAACCAACACTCGTCTTCTTTGAAATGCTTTACTTGTATTGCTTCCTTAAAGGTTTCAAACTCGGTGTCTAAAGGCGATTGAATGTAAATGTTAGACGTGCTAAATTTAACGGTGTTTTTCAGTTTCTCCTGGTCTGGCTTGAAATCTGTATCGCCATCTACTTTCTCAAGGCTCTTAATGTGATGACATTCCATATACTGCTCTGATTGAAACAGCTCGTCTCCAAAAACTAGGTCTGTGTTGAAGGTGTCCGTAACTCTTTGAATGCGGTTCTGGTTTCTTTCTCATACTGCTGATGATATAAATCCTGCATTACCCATAATAAGGAATATGCCATGACTCCCATCGTTTAGGGTCCCTAAGGGAATGCAGGGTTTAGATCATAAGCCGTATCTAAAAATTCGCTTCCCCGCTCTATAGGTTCTTCCAAAAAATGATTTAACGGTCTGCCTTTAGTGTCCTTGAAAGCCGTCTTGTCTTTTTCGCACTTTAGTTTATAAACATTACATCTACAGAGTAGATGTTGGCACTATGTCTTTCCTTGCTGTCCTTCTTTGCTTCCTGCAATCGTCGCCCTAGGGGTTCTTTGCCGTCGTGTTGTACAGAATTTGTCGTATGCGGTGTTTGCCTTTGTCTTTTGCTTGTCGGTTCTTGCGGTCATAAGCTGTCTGATTGAATTATCTGCGATGGTGAACTTCGCCTTCGCTTTTTTCACAGTCTTCACAAAAATCGACTAGATTTTGTATTTTTTGTTCTGGTGCTTTGTGTCGAACGGTTTTTGCAATTGTCGTAGGTTGTTTGTAGCGCTCTCGTGTTGCGCTCAATATATTTTCTCATACACATAATTGCACTATACAGTAAACTTCTGTGTAACTACATTTTCTGAACATGTTTTGATATATCTAGAAAAACATAACTAAAGATAAAGTATGAGTATGTTGTATGGTAATATGAATAGTTTCAGGAGTCCCGAGGATATGACAATGGAGGGGATTAAACAACAACTGGCATTGTATCAGAGGCTGTATACTATTTAAAAGGAAAGAGGATGAACAATTCATGCAGCAAAAGTGCGAAGCAAGTTTAAGGTACAACCAAAAAAAGATAATTAAGGAATACATAGCAGAGAATAGTTCAAGTGTGGAAGGTTTGACACCAATGCAGGTTAACGAAATCGTCACTGATAAACAACCTAGTGGAAACAAGCGTGGAGCGCCCGAATACGATATGAATGAATACAAAGTGATTATGCCCAACTGTTGAAAACCATGATGTATTTAAGTCTGTTATGCTCGAACAAGGCCAATACACAAGTGTTTGAAGGATGAGAACATAGAACATCACCGAACGCAGGAACACGCAGAATTTTGTGCAAGAGCCATCCGAACTTTTCAAGATCTGCTGGCGGATGAGAAAAACTGAAAGAAAGACATCCAATGGCCAGGTTACATATAAGATATTACTAACCTGTGTTAATCAGGTGAAATACTCGGCGACAGGGTTTGCGCTGTAGGAAGCCCGACAATCCAGTAATCAATTCAACCCGAAAAGACATTTAACGATGAAGGGAAAGGTGAATCGCATTTATCCTGATCTAGATGTAAGTAATATTTAGGAAGAGAAAACCGAATGAAAAGCAACCACAGACAACCTATTTGTACCCTTGAAAATGAGAAGAAGTTAGGCCAGAGTTAGTATGATGGAGATGGTTCGGATAGGCCTTATTTGCGATTTGAGTTGTTAACAGTTTGAGGGTTGGATACCATTGATCCCACGTCTTTGCTTCTGAGTACTATAGGGGCCTTAATAATTAGAATCGTGTTTCAGGGCCCATTATGCTATAACCATTTGAAGGAACCCCGCAATACTATTAGGCGCAGTTCTTGCTGGTGGCCCAGGTTTTTGCCTTGCTTCTGACTTCTGATGTCAGGCCAAAGACTGATTTGGTAGTGCTTTGCTTGCTCTACTGTAGTATTGAAAAAATATAGGGGCCTTGGTAACTGGAACAAGTTTCCTTTACAGGGGTCTGTAAGCGCTACTGTAAGGGCTATTATAAGAGTAGTATAATATAAGGGCCTGAATAATCAGAATTGGGTTTTGGGGCCCACTATACTATGATTATAATAAGGCTGTCTGTGCTTGAGTGTTTGGGGCGATGCCAGCTGATAGGTGCTATTGAAACTAGTTGGGCTCGGGGTTTAGGGCCTAGGGTTTAGGGTTGTAAGCGAGTTGAAGTTATCCACTGAGCACTCTCGTTTTGCATCGACAGCGGTTGTATGCGGTCGTCCACATCACACTGCCCCTCTTCGTTTCTTCCGAAACAGACTAGCTGACCATCTGACCGCACTGCACAGGTATGACCACAACCCGCCGAGACTGCCAGAACTGGTCCCAAGTCTGCAGGCACATCGCACTGGCCATCACGGTTGCTTCCGAAACAGACTAGCTGACCATCTGACCGCACTGCGCAGGTATGACCCCAACCCGCCGAGACTGCCAGAACTGGTCCCAAGTCTGTTGGAACGTTGAACGGCCCGTCTTTGTTGGTTCTTCCGATCGATGATCCGAAACAGACTAGCTGACCATCTGACCGCACTGCGCAGGTGCCGTCATAACCTGCCGAGACTGCCAGAACTGGTCCCAAGTCTGCTGGCACATTGCACTGGCCAACATGGTTGCTTCCGAAACAGACTAGCTGACCATCTGACCGCACTGCGCAGGTATGACCCCAACCCGCCGAGACTGCAGAACTGGTCCCAAGTCTGTTGGAACGTTGAACGGCCCGTCTGCGTTGGTTCTTCCGATCGATGATCCGAAACAGACTAGCTGACCATCTGACCGCACTGCGCAGGCATGACCACGACCCGCCGAGACTGCCAGAACTGGTCCCAAGTCTGTTGGCAGATTAAACAGCCCGTGTCCATTGCTTCCGATCGATGATCCGAAACAGACTAGCTGACCATCTGACCGCACTGCGCAGGTATGACCACAGCCCGCTGAGGCTGCCAGAACTGGTCCCAAGTCTGCTGGCACATTGCACTGCCCAGAGCGATCGTCTCCGAAACAAACTAGCTGACCATCTGACCGCACTGCGCAGGTATGACCATCACCCGCCGAGACTGCCAGAACTGGTCCCAAACCTGCTGGTGCAATACATTGCTCATGCCTGCTCAGTGCAAGGCATGCCGGCCGAGAAAGTCCCCTGATGGAGTTAAGTGACAACGTCGACGAACCAGTCCGTCGATGCTTGCTGGACAGGCAACTGGCATGTTGAAGCGCGGCAGTGCAAAACGTGTGTGACCAAATGCTGGAGCAGGAAGAAACAGTCGCGTTGCCCAACAGGGTAGGGCAAGTTTCAGCAAGAACTTCCACGACTTCTGCGACATGGATGTGGGCGCCGAGAACGACAAACAATTGCACGTTTTGGGCTAGGCTCCTGAACCGAGAACCGCCGAAGCCTAGACCTAGACTAAATCGAACACTTAAACAAAAGGCCATTCTAGTCATAACCCCCTTGCAAAATGGTCTAACCATTACGGCACCCGCTACCCCTGATAACAGCCTGAAGACATCCCCTCGCCGTCACCCCTTTTCAAGAGGAGAAGTGGCCGTGTAGGCACGGAAGTAGCTGCGGCGAACCAGACCTGAACAGTCATTTAATTTGGCAGATGAGGCCTTAGGGGTTCAAGTCATCAAAAAAGCTGACAGAGTGCTGTCGGGAAGTCCAGGACGTAATACGGGGTTAAGACCTGGAACGTGGCTTTGCATACCCATTGCCATACCACAGGGGACTATCAGCGGATACCATAAACTACCAAAACCTACTTTTTTACAGGCTCTTACTATCTACTATTTGCTTAAGAACCCCCCCCAAAAAAAAAAATGCTAATCCCTATATTATCCCTATAAGGAATATATTTTTTATTTTTTGGGGGTTCTTAAGCAAATAGTAGCTATACACCCTACTATGGAACCTGTAGGGCCCCTACAAAAAAAGGCAGGGGCGTTGGTAGCTGAAGGTGTGGTCACCATGACTCCTGAAAAGCCCCATCTCCTCGGGTTTAGAGGAGCCAATCGAACGGAGTAGTCTGCGTTGTGGGTTTGGGGTTGGGAGTTTCAGTTTTATCATAGGGGCCTTCATAGGGTTTTGGGGCCCGATATACTATATAACTACAATCAGGAACCCCCAACATCTAAGCCCCTATCGCATGTAGGTTTGGGTTTGGGGCGGTCGGGGATCATAATCTAGTTAGGGTTAGGGTACAAGCTTTCGGTCTCCGGGGCTTACCTTAACCCTGAAGGACGTACCTTTTTAAGGACTTATATAAGGAATTCATAATAGGGAACCCTAAAAAGGTAGTTTCTTCAGGGTTAAGGTAAGGTTCAGGAAAAGTCGGGCTTAAGGTGAAGCTTTGAGCAGCTCTGTTTACTTAAAGGATCATGGGACTTAGTAAGTAGGGTTATAATTAGGGTTTAGGGTTTAGGGTTTAGGGTATGGGGGGGGTTAGGGTTAAAGGATCATGGGACTTAGTAAGTAGGGTTATAATTAGGGTAACTGGACTTATACCCCCAATTAAGGTACTTATCTTAAGGTTCAGGAAAAGTCTAGGATCCAGCGTTTGGGGTGTAGAATCTAGGTTTGGAGTTCGTGGTATGAAAGGCTCGTACTTGCCAGGGGTCGCTTGCTTTGCACGACAACTTGTCGAATGTTTGTGGATCGCTTCGGCCCAAGGTTTAAGGATTAGGGTTACGCAGTTTCGGGCTTGGGTTGAGGACTCACGGCGGAGGGTCCTGTCGGGCCCGGCAGATGAACTCAAGCACTTGAGAGGCCACGTTCATCCCGACACTCCAACAAAGTGCAAAAACGGCGTGACCTGCCTTCTTAGGTTCTGCCAACCCCTCAAGCCTTGAATAATGAATCCTGATTTCCAAATCGCTGGCCCACAAAATCCTAAACCAGACCCCAAAAGCCCAAAACCCCTTAAACCGCGAACCCTATTATAGATCCCTTATAGCCCTTTTAAAACTCGTTAAAGGAACCCCGATAAAACCCGCTAAACCAAGGCAAGCCACAGTCTTCAAAGAAGGAGTCGCCATTCACTTGACCCATCATGTGCAAGTGGAATGGATACCTGCCCAATGTTAGGATCATGTAGGGTCTAGTGTCTAGGATTTAGGGCTGTGGAGTTTACTTTTTTGGCAGAGGGTTTCTGAGTATCGGGTCCCTAGGCATGTTCCGCCAAAAAACCCTAAACCACAGACCCTGAAATCCCAGAGCCTTTAACTCTGTAGAACAATGTACACTCAAACTCTAAATGCTAAACTCCAAACCCCTCAACGCCTCCTACGCTCTAGTACCAGAACCCCATTACATCGCCTGCTGGATGCTGATCCTTAAACTCAAACTCAAAGCAAGCTTCTAATATAGGGGCCTCAATAATCAGAATGGGCTTTTCGGTGAATTACTTACTGTGATGATAGTAAGAAAGCCCCAAAATATTAGGCCCTACATTAACCCGAAATCTTAACCCCAAACCCAGCCTGCCCATAACGTTCTCCTGGCCCATGCGGATGGCCGCAGCACCAGCCAAGTGACAATGAGATCCAGGGAGACACATCACGTGGCCGCCATATCCTCCGCTGGGTTTTAAGTCTTTTTTCAAAGGGTAAAAGGAGGGACCCCTAATAAGGACACCCAGGTATATACCCATAATATAGCCCATTATAGGTTTCGGGTCCCCATTAAGGGTCCCTCCTTTTCCCTTTGATTTTTAGGTTTAGTGTTAAGCTCCTTCTAACCCAAGTCTGAGGCTTAGGGACTCCTAGCGTTTAGGCTTTGTGGGGCGACCATATCTTTGGCTTTGTTTTTGCAATAGCTAGGCTCCGAACAGTTCAAACTGTTGAGTATGGACCAATTGCATGTGATTTGGGGCCGCGATACACTTGGAGTAAGGGCTCTGAGATTAGTTTAGATTAATTTAGCCAGGGCGCGCAAAGAATGTCGCCCTTCTTCTTCTTCTTCTCAGAAAACCACCCGGATCCAAAATACCCCTGCACACCCTAAAGAAACAACTCCCCGCAGAACCCCTTACCAAAACCCTGAACGCTAAACCTTAACAAGGACCCGTAGATACAGCATCTTTGTAAAAAAGTGACTTTCCGGTGGCATATTCCCCAAAAACCTTATGACATGCGATAGTTATGCGGGGAGTAGCAAGGGATATTGCCACTAAACCATCCTAGGATATGCTTTACTTACAGGGAGTAGGCTACCAGTTACTGTTGTTGTCATTACTGTTACTATTACTATTTCAATTTCTATTTCTACTCCTACTACTACTCCTCCTCCTACTGTACTACTACTACTACGACTGCGACTGCGACTGCTACTGCTACTGCTACTACCCCCAGAGTTCCGCCGTGCTCTCAAGAAACTCGAAGCGGCCAGGCGGCTCGTGGACTCACTGGCTTCATCACCTGCCCATGGGTGCCATGGAGCTTTTAACTCCAGGGTTTTGGAGGTCATTTTAGTTACGTGGGTGCCATGGAGCGTTATGAAAGGGGCGTTGTTAAAGGGCTCCATGGTTTTGGAGGGCGTTTGGGTTATAGGGTTTTGGGGTGTGAGGTTGAAGGATGTTTGTTTGGGGCTTGCGGTTGCGGCCCAGGTTAGGTCTTCGGGCGTTGAGCTTTAGGGTTGAAGGTCCAGGGATAGCATAGCCCTTTAAAGGGTTCCTGTAAGGATTACTATGCAGCTACTATAAGGGATCCACAAGGGCACTATAAGGGGTTCTATAATATAATAGCCGAATAGCCCTTTACATGCAGGTAATCGGAGCCACAGGAAAAAACCCTAAACTCCAATACAATCCTGCCAAACCCCTCGAGCAACCCTCATAGACCCTTCAGAAAGCTCGTATGCAGCCCGAGGGAGCAGCCCTTACTTCGGGACAGGGGACTTAGTCAGTAGGTCGGAAGTGGGAGTTGCAAGTACCCTATCTGGGATATCCTACTTTTCTTCGTAGATCCTAGTCACTAAGTTCCAAGATCTGCCAAGTAGATCCCGCCTTGGAAGGTGATGGTCCTGGAGAGCAGTGCTACCTCTGCAGAATACCTGGGAAGGACGGTGGCCTTAATGAGATGCGTTAAACTTGACGACGGTATACCGCAAGGGTCTATAAGGTACAGAACCAAATTATGATTAGACTAGGGTGCTGGAGGTTTCGAAGTCCTGGAAAATAAGGACGGGTTTGGGTACGGCTAAGATCGTGAACCTCCACAGCCGCCACTCGCAGACCCTCAAACGTGCTCAGCACCCTGCACAGTTACAGAAAAGCGATTGACTGTTCGCGGTGTCTGCAACTGCCTGCAAAAAGTAGACTATCGCAGGCTGTGAATTCACAGCTAGGAAGGCTGTCTTGAAGGAACCTCAAATAAGGAGAAGCCCCAGCACAAAAGTTATAGCAATGGAATACTCAGTCCCAATCCCCTAACCCTAAACCCCTAAATCCCAAGACGCCCAGTAGCCCCGTGCTCCCTTTGAGATTCCAGATCCCCGTAAGTGAGGCTTAATAGGGTTGTATGGTCTTCTCTGTTTAACGAGCAGTCTTGTAGGGTTATGGGCTTCCTAATGAGGTGACTTACTAGACTACACAAGGATCCTTCATACTATGGCTCAAGTTTTGTTTAAATTAAGGGTTCATAACTTCATGTATTCAACAGCCCATTGCTTAATTGGGTCTCTGCTTGCATCGCGGGGTGCTCTGGTCCACCGTAGTGGCCGAACTCCAGGCCCTCAGTCAGCGTGATCTGCGCGCCGCTGACCTAAGCGAAGGGTTTGGGGATGAATTTGGCAGCCGCGCACTGCCTTGACCATGGTCTCAAGAATAGGCCCTGTAAAGAAACGGGTGCCTTTTCCATAGCGCCTTTCTTGGTGAATGAGGTCCTGGTACTGACGGTGTCGTCGTCTGGGCTGGCCCTCGAAAACAGAAGTACTAAGGCACTGACGCTGGCGATCTCTCGTACTTCGTTCTGGTGGTTGTCCTGAAGATTTCATTCGCGTGGACATGGGTGGAAGAATAAACCGCAAGTCCCAAACCCTTTATAACTAAAACGCAAACTCCAAGTGACTACCTAGCCCCTAAGCCCAAAACTCGAAGCCACGAGAAAAGTTCTGGCTTCCTGGAAAACCTACACTTGTCCCACATACCTAAAACCTTGAACTCCCCCAGCTGCCATGCCATGGACTCAAAACGAGCGCAGAGGACTCACCCTGGAAAACCCTTTTTAGGGACCCTTATGATGAACTCCTTACCTAGTACAAGTCCTCAAAAGGAGCCGAAAGCCCCCCCAGGGTCCGGTTCGTCCGTCCAGGCCGTGGTGATGACCGCCACCTCTTGACCCACCTTCCAATCTACCTGCACAGAGTCACTTAACGTAAATGCAGCATCACAGGCATGAGTGTGACTACTGCTCACTGTCATGATCATCTCAAGTGTTCTTGTCACTGTCGCCTTTCTTGCTGCAGCTATTCTGGCTTGAATGAAACTTCCTCCCCCAGTTTTCATACAACAGGAGACTCCACAGGACTCCCACCGACAATACCTATAATTAACCACTGTCAGGAATATAATGCTGCAACTTAAGATGTAGGGTTTAGGGCCGTGCTTCGACGCCCCGATTTGGAGGCCCCAGCAAAACGGCTCGAGTGGCTTGGGTGTGCAGGGAGTCTATCAATCTTTATGCGCCGGAACTTGTGAAACCATAAACTCTCATTCCGAAGCTGTTCAATCCCAGAGTGCTCGAGAGCCACTGAAGTGTGAAGGAATGTACTTGAACACACTGCAAAAACGCCGTAAATAATCAAGGTAGTCTTTGACTTTGGACTTTGTAAACCTAAAACCGCCAAAACCTGTATTTAGAAGCGTACAGAAGCTGTATCAAACCCATGAAGAATCCTGAAATACCGTGTATGTACGTATCTATGTACGTATGCATGTGTCAGTGTATGAATGTGCATCAATGAGTGTATGTAGCTATGCATGTGGGTACGTTTGCAATTCTGTCTGTCTGCTTGTCTGTATCTATGTATGTCGGTATGTCTGTATGTAGGTAGGATGTTTATTTATGTATGTATGTCCAAGCATGAACAGGGCTTTCATTACCAGCATCCCCCCGATGAGCCCCTGCTGCATCCACAAATTGAATGTTGGGAGCCCCCAGCCACACTAATAACAACCCTGACATAGCATCTGCTTCATATCATTTGATCTGCACGCTAAACCCTAAGTCTAATGTAATCCTTTCAGTAGGATCCTTATAATAAAGACCCCAAAATAAGGTACCTCTAAGTTTCGGAAACTCTAAACCCTTATAAGAGCCCTTTACAGACACCCTTCTCGTAAGACTTGAAAGTTACCCCCTAAAGTAAAGTACCCCTAATTTTCGGAAACTCCCTTATATACTCAGAGAACCCAATACCCCTAAATTAAGGAATATACCTTAAATTATAGGGGCCTTAATATTATGATTTAAGGTATATTCCTTAATTAAGGGGTATTGGGCTCTCTGGGTACATACTCCAAAGTCGAGTCGGGGGGTTAAGGGCACCCATTATAGAACCTTATAGTACCCTTAGGGGATCCCTTAAGGGCTCCTTTAAAGGGAGGGGTCTCTTTAGGGGCTCCAAAGTCAAGTCGGGCCTGGTCCTGGAGGGACAGCTCCGTGGCGCCAGGCATCGCAGTGTTCGCTAGCCGCGTCCTCGGCCCGAGAAAGCAGATTTGGCTATTAGGGTTTATAAGAAAGCCTGTAAACCCTAAGCTGCATTTTTTCATAACGTTTTCTACAGTGCTGATAGGTCTTTCAGGGCTTGTAATTTGAGGCATTGGTTAAAATATCTTCTAGACTGGGCGGCTTTGTAGGATTGGGTGCGCCGTACTATAGGGGGCCTAAATAAATACCCATACTATTTGGGTTTTTTACGACAAGTATAGTTAATTGGCCCAAAACCCTGTTCTAATTTTTTGAGGTCCCTATAATATATTCTGCGATGGTCCTCAAGATAAGGATCCCGCCTCTTTGGACTTAAACAGGCATCCTGCACATTCAAAAGCTCAACAGCTCATGTTTTTCGTTTGCAAGTCTTGAGGCTTCGGGGGCCTTGTGACGCTTGGGGCTGCCTGTTTGGGACTCCATTCCATTTTCCGACAGTTTCCGGGAAGTGCATTTGCACATTTGAGGGCTTTCAACAGGCGCTCCGGGGGTGTCTTCGGAATCTGTGTGGGGGCTCATATTTGGGGACTCTCTTCGCCCGATACTTCTCAACGGGTTCTTGCAGGAATTGGTGAAGATCGAAGACTTTGGCTACCGGTGGTGAGAGTACTCAGAAAACAAATACGCATGGTCATGGCACGCCCGAAAACCTCAACAAATTCCTTCAAGACTTTCAATTCAAATCCTGAAACCTAAACCCTGAACCCTGAACCCTAAACCATGAAAACCCTGGACCCTAAACTCGTCTTAGAGGAGGCTCCAGGTTGGCCAGTAGCGCAGGCCGTAGACCTGGGAGCTGACGCTCCCAGAGATTCCCCAATTTTCCCTCATTTAGTTGAGATTCAGTTGATATAAATCCTGCATAACCCATAATAAGGAATATGCCTTAATTCCCATAGTTTAGGGTCCTTATGGTAATGCAGGAATTATATCATCAACCGTTCCTGTACCTTTAACTATCCTTTAAGGGACCCTATAAGAAATCTATAAGGGTACCATAAGGGTCCTTGGCTGACTTCTGAACCCCTCCTAAAAATAGTCCTGTACCTTTAACGACAACTAGACCCAAGAGTGCCCTTTTTGGTTTAAAGGGACTTATAAGGAAACCTGAACCCTAAAAAAAGGAATAAGGGCCTACCTAGGTCCTAGGTGGTGACCCCTCAACTCTGTGATACTACGCTAAAACGTAGTGGGGAATATACGGACCTTAGTCAGCAGAGTAGGGTGTTGGGGTTCCTCTCCTAAAACCACAACAAGGAACCCAAGGGACGAGTACTGACAGTTAGGCAAGTATCACATAAGTTGGGGCCACATGCAGGCAGAGTTACAGCACCCACAGTAGCCCATGCGGTCTTCGTGAGGAATCTGGGAGATTTCACTAGGTCACAAGGTTGTGAGTTCTGAAAAATAAACGCAACATATCACGAAGCCTTAACCCTAACCAGATCCTACATTAACCTTTGCAAGCAATGCTGTTCTTCGAAGCCAGAGAGGCACCACAAAATTACCAGTAACTAAGGAATACGTTTGAATAGTCAGACTTAGGATCTCTCCCGTTCCGAAAACTAGGGGTACCTTATTTCAGCATCCTTATAATAAGGAGCGTACTAATAAGGGTACTATACCAGGGTCCCCTATTTTCTGAAACTCCCATATATCTTAATGTATTCAGTGAACAAGGGGCCCTCTAGTCTCTGGGTAACCCAACCCTTAAAGGAACCCGTAACGTAACCCTACTATAGTAACCCTTAAAGGATCCCTTTAAAGGAACTCGACCATGGGGAGCCTCCAGCAGCCCCCCGTCGCCGACGACGAGGCCCTTGGTGTTCAGTGGGTTCGAAGACCTGGCTGGCACCATAGAGCCCATAATTGTTCGAAGAGGGTTCCTGTTTGAAGGGGTCAATAAGGCTAACTTCAAGGGATCTATAAGGGTACTATAATATAGGGGCCTTAACAATTAGAATGGGGTTTTGGTGGTATATTGTACTAAAAGGATGATAAGGAACCCGATAGAAGGCAGCCATACACAAGCGAACTTAGGGCTACCGGTAGAGGCTTCCAGGATTTGGGAACCGGTAAGCTTTCTCGAACCAGCCGTTTGGTAACTTTAATAGAACCCTTCACATAAACCTCATAGAACCCTCGCAGTATTGAGCCTTGCAAGCAGGAACTCCAAACGAACCTTCATAGTCAACCTTATAGAACCAGTATAGTAAGCAGTTTAGTCTAGTTCCAACTGGGGGTTTCCGAAAATAGGCGACCCTAATATAGGACCCTGAATAGTAAGACCCTTATTATAAGGACCCAAAATAAGGTACCCCTGTTTTCGCAGACTCCCCACTGAATTGCACCGGACTTTCTTCTGCACTCGCGGTCAGCTCTGCTGGCTCCACCAGCTCCGCATACTGCAGCAGCTGGGCTAAGGCGTCGTTGGAGACCACTTGCCTGAGCTCTTCTTAGGAAACTTACACTAAGCTACCATGAGGTTGTTCTGAAGGTACTTAAATTCAGTTACCGTGAAGTTCTTCTTGAGAAGCGTAAGTCAAGCTACCATAAAAAGAAAAGCTTGCTGTTTATGTATTATACATCCCGATTCTGGCAACCATAGAAAGGCAACCATACTGTATTGTCTATACTTGAAACCCCAAATGTGGTAAAGCGAATGTCTTACAAGAAGCCCTAAACCCTAAACCCATAAACCCTAAGCTGTGGTACATAGAGTTTCTTGCAAGAAGCTCTAAACCCTAAACTGTGGAAATAGAGCTTCTTACCTACTATTTGCTTAAGAAACACCCAAAAAATAAAAATAATAATCCCTATATTACCCCGATAAGGAATGCATTTTTTATTTTTTGGGGGTTCTTAAGCAAATAGTACATAAGAACCCGGTTGCAAAGAGCTCGGGGCTTCTTCGCACTGCTCCAGGGCGCGAAACTCTGCGGCAGCCGCAGCCAAGTGCAGACGACGCCTGACGGAGACCCTGCCTTCAGCTCGAAACCCTGTGAGCTCCTTCCACCTCCTAACCCCAAACCCGCCAAAAAAAACGGCAAATCCTCAAACGCATCCTAACCCTAAAGCATAAGTCGGGCGACTTTTCCGGCGTGGTGGTGAGCTCGGCCTCGAGCTGATCTCCTTTGGCCGGCTGCACCGCGAAGTTGGGTGCCTTTGCTTGGAGCGCGGTTCGGGATAAAGAAACGGTTGATGATATAAATCCTGCATTACCTTAAGGACCCTAAACTGTGGGAATTATGGTATATTCCTGTTTATGGATAATGCAGGATTTATATCATCAACCGAAGGAACCCCTAGAATCCCCGTTCAGGCCTTCTTGGCACTTGCTAATAAAGGGCATTCCCCAGAGACTCTAATACCCCATACCTTAAATTATAATGAGATCCCTGATATGATTTAAGGATTATTCCCTAATTACCACTATGGGCTATTAGACCCTAAAGATCCCTATTAGGACCCTATTAAGGGTAGATTAAGGTACCCATAAGGTCTAATAGCCCGTAGTGGTAAGGGGTGTTGGAGTCTCTGGGTCTGGCCCATGACCTGGGGCTGGGCTTTTAGCGCCTCCACACTCCCCGAAGAGAGGCCTTACAAAGAGACTCCAAGAAGGTTCCCTTTAAAGGGATCGATAAGGGTTCCTTTAAGGGATCTATAGGGTTTGTAGAGCGACTCCGATATCCCTGTATTAAGGAATATTCCTTAAATCATAGTAGGGATCCTACTATAATTTAAGGTATATTCCTTAATTAAGGGATATTGGAGTCTCTGGGTAAGCTATCTGTCCAGTCGTTATTTATCTAGACCCTAGAAGCTGCCCCCCACCCTGTAATAGTGACTTTAAGGAATTACATTAGGGCCCTATTATATTCCTATTATATCACTATTACAGGGTGGGGGCCCCTTCTAATGTAAACCCCTGATTAATAAACCGCCGCACCTCAAAAGTGATGCTAATCCGGATCCTAATATCATGGCCCTGAAAGAGAGGGGCTTGATTAGTCGAATGTCAACATCGGGTCGACAAGGCGAGCTGCCCTCGACAATCCCATCATAAACATATCATAACTTTATCACAGTATATATAATCTCATATAACAAGATCTCAGATAACAGAATACAACAAAATGTAACATATGAAAACATGACACAATATATCTTTATAGCTTTAACCTAAACGGTGTTACCAGGTTTTTCTACCTCACAACTTCCCCAGACGGACGCATGCTAGAGGGGCACTAATGATTAGACTCGCGCCTTTTTTTTGCGTTTTTATTTTGGGGAGGGATGGGGAGTGGGAGGAGGGGGTGGTCCTTATTATACCAATCGTAGAAAACAGACCCAAACCCTATTCGAATTCTTAAGGTCCGTATAGTGAACATAGAGATCAGGAGCCTGACCCTCGGAAGCCGCTTTGCAGAAACGTCTAACCCCCCGAACTATAGAAGCCCTCAAAGCTCGTGGAAACGCCTAAAACTATAGAAGCTTGTGGAAACCCTATATTCGTCTTTATTTGTCGATTGTGTCGAACAAGTCCCGTGGATCTAAACCCTGTGGCTCTGGTTCAGAAGTGCACTCAAGGCGGCCGTTTGAAGTTGCATCTTCGGCAGAGAAAGCCTGTCCAAGCCGGTGCAACGCCGGAAGATGGCCAAAGCCCAGGCCAGATTCTGCAGATCCTGTTCCTCGGTTATGATAGAGTTTAGGGTTTAGGGTTTTAGGGTTTTAGGGTTTAGGGTTTAGGGGTTCAGGGTTTTAGGGTTTAGGGGTTTAGGGTTTAGGGGTTTAAGGTTTAGGGTTTAGGGGTTTAAGGTTTAGGGTTTAGGCTGTAAGCCAGCCGTGCGGTTCAAGGATGTTTAGGGCTGAAGGCTTCGGCCATGTGCTTGGATTTTCGATCATCTGGTGGCATAGGGTGTTTACGGAATTTTTATGAATTCCGCCCATACGGAAACCATGCTATTTGTTCAAATCCACGTTAGCTTTCCCAAGAAGTAACCCGTTCACGTTCAGAGAACCACTTTACTTATACCTCATCTTTAAGGGTACCTTGGCCACCTGGATCCCAGCAAGAATCCATACATCCCAAGCCAGAAAACCGAAAACCCCGTAAACCACGCCAAACCCTCCCGTCTAAACCTTATCTACTATTTGCTTAAGAACCCCAAAAAAATAAAAAAATGTATTCCTTATGGGGGTAATATAGGGATTATTATTTTTATTTTTTGGGGGGTTCTTAAGCAAATAGTAGTTATTTAAACCCCCCAAACCTTAACCTCCAAACCCCCGAAACCCGAAGTCCTTAAACCCCCTAAAAACCCCAAACTCGAAGCCCCTAAACCCCGAACCTCCGAAACCCTAAACCACTAAACACCCAACAAAAATCCGCAGAAACCCCTAGTAATAGTAGCAGTAGTAGCAGTAGTAGTAGTAGTAGTAGTAGTAGTAGTAGTAGTAGTAGTAGTAGTAGGAGGGTTTAGGGTTTACCTTAACCTCCCCAAACCTACTGTTTTGTAGGGTCCCTATATGTTCCATATTAGGGTTTATAATAAGAACCTACCAAAATGTAGGGTTTAGGGTTTAGGGTTTAGGTAGGAGCCCAGGTTCGGAGAAGCCTCGCAAACGGCCAGGCTTCCCTGCCTCGGCGCAGGCCGCGGCGACCAGACGGGGCCTGGGCGCCTCGAGCATGGGCCTTAAGAATCAGAATAGGGTTTGGGGTTTAGGGTTTGGGGCTTAGGGTTTAGGGTTTAGGGAAGAATTATGAAAACTATTACATTATTAAAAAATAGTGCTTTTTTTAATAAGTTAATAGTTTCTAAGGTTTCAAAAACTACTAATAATTAGAATAGGGTTTGGGGTTATATGGTACTATGATGAAATAATAAGGAACCCCCAAAGCCCTATTCTAATTTATTAAGGCCCCTACAGTAATACATACAAAACAAGTCTGTATACATATACGCACACATACCTAAATCCCTAAATCATGAATTGACCGTATATACTTACATATACATATATGCACATACATGTAAGGTACAGTAGCTATACTCATAACCCAAAAAATCCTTTGCCAAAAACCTTATATACTTTTATTTTATTATGTCTTAGAGAGCTTTAGCACTTGGGGTTTGGGTTCTGTGCGGGGTTGTAAGACAGCAAAAAAGGGCCCAAACCAGACCAACCTGTGAAGTTCCTGATAAGAGGTTTAGGGTTTTAGGGTTTGAAGGGTTGTGAACAGGCTTACTAAAGCATTCCTCTGACTTTCTAGATTTTAGGGCCTCAAGAGAAGCGTAGGCCCAAAGCACAGCCGCCACATCGCGGCCAGAGAAAGTGGCGAGCAGAGCTCCTCCAACAAACTCGAAACCCTCGTCAAAGGGGACAAGGAGGGACCCTTAATGGGGACCCCTTCCCTATAATGGGCTATATAATGGGTATATAACGCTATATAAGGGTATATGCCTAGGGGTCCCACCCTGGACCTGAAATCATAGGAAATCCTTGAAGTAAAAGGAGCAGCACCCCGCCTTCTTTATGGCAAAGCTCATCTTCTAATTTGTCCAGCAATATATCGGACTTTAGACCCACTCGTGCGAAGCCCCAAAGCACGTTGGCGATGTGGCGTGGCTCCCAATGCTGTATCGAAGCTCCTGCCAGGACGTAGTACTAGGATGCAGGGTTTGGTGATTGGTGTGTGGGTTCACTGCCTGCTTTAGGACTTGTACAAGAGAAGCATCGTAAGGAACCCTAAGACAGGTAGGTTTTTAGGGTTTCCAAGCACTTGCCCTGAACTCAAAACCCTTAATTATAAGCCTCATAGGCCCTACACCCTGAAAACCCTCAACCCAAATCCTTATGCCCTAAAGCTTTCTCCGAGCTCCTGAATGGAATTTCCGAAAAAAGGGGACCCTAATATAGTATCCGACATAATAGGATCCTGATTATAAGGACACCAATATAAGGTACCCCTAATTTTCGGAAACTCCCATGTGGTCAGAATATCATGACTGTAGAACCTACTGTGAACCCTGCGCAACAGCCTGTTGATATCCTTGTCGTGCCTCGTCCCAGGACTCTGGAAAACCATATCAACAAAGTGCCGGCGCACCCTGCACTACCCTCGTAAAACCAAAAAACCTTGACTATTGAGGGTAATATAGGGGCCTTAATATTTAGAATAGGGCAATATAGGGTTTGGGGTTGTATTATACTATACTCATAAATAGGGACCCCCCAAAACCCTATTCTAATTTATTAAGGCCCCTACAGTACGCCTGGGTTTCTCCGAGGCTCCTGAATGGATGCACTGCGAGACGGCAGCAAACCAGACCGGATTGGCGAGGCGCAGGGATCCTAAGCCATGGCTTCCCCCTACAAGGTAAAAGCCAGAAAGTTGGAATATGATTATCCTAACCCTTCTATGGTAAATTATAGGGTATCCTACCCTGAAACCATATTCCAACTTTCTGGAGTTTCCTATAACGGGCTACATAATGGGTATATCATAGCTATAGTAAGGGCTTGTGGGGGTATCCCGAAAATGGGGTACCCTAATATAGTACCCTAAATAGTAGGATCTTTTATCATAAGGACCCTCAAACAAGGCACACCCAATTTTCGGAAAGTCCCATATAATGGCTATATTAAGGGTATATACCCAGGGATCCTGCCATGGCTTTTTTCCAGATTCTTAGGAGAAACTTTTAGCACTATATTCGGGTTCCTTTCAAAGGGCCTGTAAGGGGTACTTTAAGGGATCTACAAGGGTACTATAATATGTGATTACTTTGAGAATATACGGGGACTATCCGTGGATTATGTAGGGATGAGTTATGCATTTGGTTTGCAACGCGAGATAAGCTGCGTCCCCAGCGAAAGGCGTCAGACGAGCTTGCCAAAGGTTACCTACTCTACTACGGGCCTCAATAGTGAGCGATACTGCTTTGGGGGCTCCTGATTATAGTTATAGGATAACATACCCCAAACCTACCCTTCTTGTAATGAATTAGAAAGGCCCCTGTATTACTCTGCCAAGGATCCGTGGGCCCAGGACACGTTGGCCAAATGCTGACTCGTCATCTCCTCTAGGGATCAAATTCATGAAATCCAACAGGGTTTAAGGCTCGTATCCCACAAGATTCATCGTGTACAGGCGTTATGGTTCCATAGCCCAAAATTATGGGGCTATCATACAATACGCAGGCCTTATGGTTTCATTTTGCGTGGTTTGAGATGCAGAGTCTATGTAGAGCCTCATGCTTGCTCAGGGTGCTTATGGGCGCCTCCACCCGCGCTGCACAGCAGTCGCCCAGCTGAGCCCAGAGCGACGCAGCCTTGGGCGGCAGAGGGGCCTCATTGGGCTCTGGACACGTCAGGGTCGCAAGAGCCCAAGCCACGTTTGACAGCTCCTGAGCATTTCCTCAGTTCTGAAAGAACAGCTGCCATAGCAAACCAGATCCAGAAAACACAACTATTTTCAAACTCACCCTCTATAGGTATATACATATGTATCATCTCTACATGTATGTCTATCTATGTCTTTTACACACAGAGTCTAGACAGAGCCCAGTCTCCGTGGACGAGCAGTTGTGGCAAGGCTTCGCGGGTGCGGGTCAGCAGTCGGGATGCACTCGAAACCCTGGCCGGTAGCTGCGACCTTCAGGGGTCTAAACCCAGAACCCCCGGGAGGATCCAAAAGGTAGATCCCTTAATGGGGGTTCCTATAAAGTACCCTTAGTAGTATAGTGCCCAAATTAGGGGATCTACTTTCTAGATCCTCTATAAGGTCAGGGAAAAGGACGAAAGTATCAGCCCCTCAGTGGAGGTGCCCCATGGAGGCTTCCTTGGAAGGGGGATCCTTACCTTGTGGGGACTTCCTGTTACTGGCGGCTGCATGGGATACATACCACTATCCAAGCTTTTCCTGCTTTTTTTGGGGCCCAAACCTTGCCAGTGCCCAAAGTACACTCGCTGCCTCTCTGGCCGACGACCTGGATTCTCAGCAACGCCGGTGCAATAAACAAGACTTCCCTCGTTGCTAGCTGCCAAAGAAGACCACCCCCCCCCACTGAAAGGCACGGGGATCTCAACGTTAAGAACTAAGGCACTGCTGAAGAGGCAAGAGACGGGGGTGCTGACAACCTTCGAAGAGCAGTTTTGATCCAGGGCTGCACCTCGTCGCTTGGTCGGGGCAGCCGTAAGGCGCCACAGCGGTGCAGCAAGGTTACCAGGTGCAAGCGATCCATGCGATCGCCATGCTGGAAGCTGAGATGCGCGAGATCCTTCATTGATGTGCATAAAGGTGCCCCTACTGCGGTAAAATGGGATGAATGTAAGGTCCCCACAATAAATCTATAACAAGGTCTTATGCTTGGCCCTTGTGTCCTTGTTGGGCATACGGACCTCTTGGGCAACGTCCCCCCGAGACTTAAGAAATCCTATAAGTGTAGATAGCTGGGCCTCTTCTGATTTTAACCCTTACAAAACTATGAACCCCAAAGACCCCCTATAGACCCTTACAGAAACGGAAAATCATACAAACAAGTCCCTGTCTGGAAGCCCTTACAAGAGGCACAAGCCCTTGATTCCTTCAAGGATCCCTTAGAGGAAACCCCTATAATCCTAAAACCCTTATAGGAACCCTTAAAGGAAACCAGCTTATGTATTATAGAACCCTGTTATCCAAGCTTTAAAGGAACCCTGAAAGGAAACCATGTTACATATTATAGAACCCTACTATGGAGCCCTTCATAAAGGAATTAAGGAACCCCTAAACCCTTAAAAAAAACCCTTATAGGAACCCTTAAAGGGAACCAGATTATAGAACCCTATTGTGGAACCCTTAAAGGAACCCCTACAAAGGGGGTGGGGCCCGGGCCCCTTTATCCTTGGCCGTGGCCCGGCGGAGTAGTGCCGTCAGCTGCTTGGCCGTCAGCTCGCGGGCCATCAGCCGCCGAGGGTTTTGAGGATTTTTTCGTATGAGACTCAGGCTTCCATAGAAAGGCATAGTTAGGGTTCTATTTCAGGTTTAGGGTTTGGGGATTTTGGTCTGATACTTATAGACTTCTATATAAAGGGGTAGCTATAAGGGCTCTTTAATGGAGTTTTGGGGATTCTGGTCTGATACTTAGGCTTCTATATAAAGCCGTTGCTAGGGTTCTATAGACGCCCTTCAAAGGGCTCTATTTGAAGGCTAGGACCTAGGGTTTTTGCGAACGATGTTGGGGTTTAGGGATTAAAGGTTTCGGGCACAGGGTCAAGGGCTTAGGGCTTAGGCCTTTTGGGGTATACATGTAAAGTATAAGAGCTTTCGGTTTAGCCGCATTTTGGGGATTTGCGTTTGGAGTCTTGGGGCTTGGGTTATTACGCACAGGGTTTAGGGTTCTTGGTGAAAGCGGCTTTACGGCCCGGAGCATTCGAGCATTTTGGGAGTTAACCACAAAGAGGCGTGGGCATTGCCCGACAACAAGTCTCGAACAACGCCGGAAGACGGAGGGTTTCTGAGGTCACCAGACGGGTGCTTGACGAAAGCAAGAAGGCTTCCAACAACGCACCTTGATTGAAACTAAGATGGAACTCCACATGTCCACCCATTACACGGATGGACAGCAGTCCACAATGGGCCCCCTGCAGGTTTGCATATTCAGTTCCTCATGGAGGGTCTCGCTAGTCCTTGAAGCCATGTGAACCCTACTTGGAGGGTCGGGGGACTTAGTAACTGGTTATCGGGGGACTTAGTATCTGGTTATTTTAAGGACTTATAAACACCATAACCCCAATTAGGGTCCCTTTTAGGGTACTTATAAGTCTACTTTCTACCTACTTACTAAGTCCCCCGACCCTCCAAGTAGCCCTGAACCCTATAAACTCTAAGCGCTGTAAGCTCTAAACTCTAAACCCTTTAAGCTCTAAGCCCTAAGCACCGTAAACACTAATCTAGGTGCCGATTTCGACAGCCCCCAAACTGTTTATACTTACTTCTTTATATTCTTCTTCTATAAGGAAGTTAACATCAAAAATGATCCCAAATCGATACGTACTGTTGATGATATAAACCCTGCATTACCTTAAGGACCCTAAACTATGGAAATTATTGTATCTTCCTTACTATGCGTAATGCAGGGTTTATATCTCTAAAGCCTACAACCCTATAGATCCCTTAACGGAACCCCTTAAAGGTACCCAGTGTGGGCAATGCAGGATTTACATCACCTGCCGTAGTTTATCAAGCCTTCTTCCCAACTTACTTTGGGTTAGTAGGGAATGGAAGAATGGTGTACAATTATAACTACTATTACTACCCTTCTTCCATTCCCAACTAACCAAAGGTAAGTTGTAGGATTATTAAGGCCGCTATATTCTAGTACCCTTATATAGACCCCTTATAGTAGCCCTTATAAGGCTCCATTCCCTACTAACCAAAAGTAAGATACCCTTATAGATCCCTTATACTAGCCCTTATAGACCCCTTTAAGGATCCCTTGAAAGGCCTCCATTGCCTACTAACCAAAGGTAAGGCAAGGGCCTCGAGCCCCGATCGCCGGAGCCGGTAAAGGTCACTGTGATGCCACCGGCAATCCTTGTCTTGTCGTTTGCTAAGAGTATCGTGTCCTTGTATATAATATAGTATATTATATAGTATACTAGAGTATAGTATATAGTATATAGTGTATAGCATATTGGAAGTATACAGGAACCACGGGGGGATCATGTCGGTGGTGGCGGAAACCTCCCTATACCCGAAACTCTAAACCCCAAACCTTATGAGACACACTGTCAAAGCGGTTCTCCAAATTTAGGGCCCACTTTCGTAGAGTCATAGACCCTGACGAGTATTTCGGCCTTAAAGGCTCAGGCTAAGATCCATGAGCCATGATAAGAAACCCTTTTGATTTATACTACAACCAGAACGAAAATAAACAATCCTAGGGAGCCCGAAACGTTTTCGGTGCGAGGACCTACACATTTACGCAGCGTTCGATGCCAGGGCAGCCAGAGTGATTGGCCTTGAAAATCGAGCCTTGAAAACAACCAAAGAGGGCTCCAACGAAGAGTCCCACCTTCCAGCCTTCACTTTGTGACCCCTTCAAAGGCCGAAACCCTAAACGACAAGCCCAGCGGCAGTGGGCAGCTGGCGGAACCCATGCGAAGAGTTCCTTCCGTGAGGCTTGCGAAACTGTGTTGCAGGTATTAGGATGTTGCAATAGCATTATGACTCCAACTGCTTCGGTTACCAGGAAGAACTTTTACGACGAACACCTAGGACGCTGTGTGACCCGTGCGAGTATTGCGATATTTGCGATTTCCGACATCCATACACTATGGGCTATTAGACCTTATGGGTACCTTAATCTACCCTTAATAGGGTCCTAATAGGGATCTTTAGGGTCTAATAGCCCATAGTGGATACTCCTACTACCTGGCTAGCATTCTACGTGATCAGCTCAAAGGCTCATCCCACCCGTGAAGGCCACCGAAGTTCAAAGAGAAACGGCCAACTTGAACACGGATAAACACATGACACCGACCCTCCTTGTCCTGGAGTTTGGGCCAGAATGATTGAACCGCGAAACAGCTCCAAACCCGAAAGCCCAGCAGTCTTGAAGCTCGAAACCCTCTGGACGGTTCATGCTTTTGTGCTTCTTTTCGGCCCTGGGTTTTAGGGAACTCGTCTTCCGGATTCGGAGCGAAAGCTACGCACCAAGCTGGCCTTGGACGTAGATCGCCCGCGTCTCGAGCGAAAGGCCTGGCAAACACGGCGGTGTTGAAGAAATGAACCGAGTGTGGTGGCTAAAATCGCTATGGGTTGAGGGTTAGGGCTCTAGCTAATTATGGCTCAGCTGTCAAGCATATAATACCTGGGATATGTTGCGGAATCATCATTAAGTAGAAACAAGCACAACGACCAACAAAAGGGTCTCGAGCATTTGACCCTGGACCCCTGAAGCGGTTTAGCAATGCTGACCGGGCTTCTAATTCGCATCGAGCGTCAATCCGGAAAAGGAACCTTATAATACACCAACATAGTATTCCAAGATATACTACGTACAAGGAACCTTATGATATGATATACCATCACAACATTTCAAGATATACTACTTACAAGGGACCAGCCTCGTCTTTGTCGCGTTGTCCCTCGGCCTTATTGATCTGACCTCGCCTTCGTTAAGGGCTGCGGCGATCTACATACGATCATACTCTAATGTACCAGAATATGCTGAATACTATACTATACTATACTCAACACACCAGAACATGCTTCAACAATACCCTACTAGAATACGACCCGGGATCTCCGCCACATCCGGTTAGACCTGTAGGATTTCAGCACGAAAAGCCATTTGGGAGTTTCCGAAAATTGGGGGTACCATATTTTGGGGTCCTTATACTCAGGATCTTACTATTTACGGTCTTTCTTAGAGCCCCCTGTTGCCCCCACTTACCATGCCCCTTCAAAAGAAGGAAACCGAACCCTGGGACCCCTGGTACTTAACATCCCAAAAGCCAATAATGCCCAACTCGCCAAAACCAGTAGCAAAGCCAAACCTTGCGACATATCAGCCTGTATCAGACTTTAAACACTATCTAATCCCCAAACATCTTCGAAGGAGCCTACCCTATAGACCTGTGTCCTAGAATCGCTTGGAAATCCTCGTTTCCCTAAGCCCGAGAGCCAGAACCCAAATCCACAAAGACTCTTTGAGCAGATGTCTCCACTATACTGAACTTAGGACCCTAGCAAAAACGATAATTTTAGCTGTTTCGTAGGGATTATAATAACCAAAAATTGAAAAATATTTCTAACTACCCCTAAGATCACGCCTGCGATATCTGAGACTACGAGCTCAGCGCCGGGAGCAATCCTCAGCTCTTCAACAGGCTCAAAGTTCAATGGGGATAAAGGGTTTAGGGTTTAAGGTTTAAAGGGATTTGGGATTGAGGCAGGGTTTAGGGTTTCGGAAATCGGGTTTAGGGTTTAGAGGGATGTGGAATTGAGGCTGAAGTGATTCAGGATTTCGGGTTTGGGAGATCAGAGGGGGTTAAAGGATTCAGGTATGGGGTGGATCTGGCTTCATCCTCCGAAGCCTTACAGAGACTCCTTCCTGTGTCGTTGGAAGGTTCAATCATTATGGATCCGCCGCTGAGGAGTTGTAGACTTCCTGCATGAAGAAGGCATTTGGAAGGGCCGTGTGCTTTGGAGGCCTGTTCCCTCTGCCTATGCTAAAAGGCGTCCATTCGCTGGAGTTGCTTATCGGGTAATGTGAGGAGTCCGAGGCCATATATGAGGATCGGTATGAACATGCCCTGGAATATCCGAACTTTGGTGGGGCTTCTTCGGTTCACGCAGCCTTAGGCTCAAACGCTACTTCAAAAAGTTTGCGCCATGCTGTCATGCTGCCCAAATGCTTAACTTGCGGTGTGGTCCGGACCGAGCTCCCGTCGGCAAACTTGAATTGCGGCTCGGGGTGGTTATATAAGGTGGGTTAGGAGTTCGGTTTTTCCGACTTAAGATTCATCATGCCCGTTAAAAGGATTGCATCTGCGATGTGGTCTTGGCTAGCAGCAACGCGTCCTCGGCAAATTGTAGATCGTAGGTGGGCCATTGGGAGGACCATGTGTTCGTGGCCACGCCCTGCTTGAGAAGCCTCTTCTATGCTGATGCGTACCTCCCGCACTTCAATGTGCTATTGAAAGCACACCCGCGGCCTCTTGTCCATGCCACCAGCTGTCGTCCAAGGCACATTTCGTAACCTCATCACTCCCAGCAGTGTGGGCCCACCACTTGGAGCCCGACGCTTTGCGTCCTGAACCGCCCTGTAGAGGCTGTGGCGCCAGAAATTGTAGACCCTCCGCAAGCCCTGCAGATACAGGTCGAATGTCGATCGGAGATGGTCCCGCAGGTTTGGGTCTCTTGGCCAGATGCATTAATGTCGCGATGCATGTCGTCACCAGGGCAACAGTCATATACTTGCCTTTGGCTTTCGGGTTCCTGTACTACAAATCAGAAGAGGAGCCCTGAGAAAGAGTTGTACTAAAAACTCAAACCCGCAATGCTAAAGCCCCAAACTCAAGCCCAAACCCCTGAACCCCAAACTATCCTTTTTAAACCCCTACAGCCTACACCCGAAGCCGCAGGCTCCGAATCACCTGAACCAGACACCCGAGAACGGAGGTTTGAATCATTGGTCCCAAAAAGCCAAGTGTGATACATCTAACCCCAAACCCTCTACCGGTGTTTCAGGCCCGTGTATACAACCCTCCGAAGGCTGTAGTACGGTAGTATGACAGTATCCCCTAAACCCTAAACCCCTAAACCCTGAACCCACCCAAACTTTGCAGTCGCAGGCTCGTCAAGGAACCCAGCGAGCAATTCTCGCTGAGAATGTAACTGCCGCCTGCGACTTGCATTCCAGATAAGGCTAAAGGGGGGTCTTTCAGATTTCAGGAATTCTGCACGGGTGCGTGAAGGGGTTCCTTGAGGGGTCTGTGGAACAAGGGTTTCAAACTTTCAGGGTTTAGGGAGTGTCCGGCTGCAGGGCTTTGGAGTTCAGGGCTTTAGGCTTTAGGGTTCCTATACTGAACTTAGAACCCTAGCAAAAATTAAAAATTTAGCTGTTTCTTAGGGATTATAATAACCAAAAGTTAGATAGGGTTCCTGTGTTCGGGCTTCGGGGTTCCAGGGTTGGGGATGCCTTACGGCTTGTGCTCTACGCGGCATCATGTACTGAAACATCCGACGAGGAAGGACAGTAGAAACAAGAAGCGCCATCGAAGTCGTCGGACCACACATGAAAAGGTTCGAACGACATTCATTCGCGATGGTGCTGCGGACATCTGTACTACTACATGTCCATCATTCATGCCCGAAGCCGACCGATTCATCAGTACCTGGGAGTGCTTGCAAGAAGGACCGTATCGGAATGGTAAGCCAAGACATCTTAAAACCACTCAATCAAGGACGATGCCAAGGAATACTCTATACTCCAAGACAGAAAGGTCTATGGCTTAATTCCGAGCGAAGTCTGGAGTCTCTACATTGCTCTGAAGATCTACTTAACCGGTAAGGGGCACTTAGTGACTTAGTGGGGTTAGGGTGCTTCAAACACTGCTTGTAGCCTGCCTACTAGGTCCCGTAATAACTCAGTAGAGGGCAAGCAAACACTACAGAGACAGAGAGGAATATTATTTGCACATGAATGAGTCAAAAAAGAAGTGTGTGTGTGTGTATATATATATATTATGTATAGATAGATAGATATATATATATATATAATACAGACATATGTACGTGTGTAACCCCTGTATTTCCCGCTCTGCAACAGCCAGCGGCCGCCTGAGAGGGTGAGATCTCCGGAGGCGTCTCGGGAGGCCAAGAAATCGCTGAATGGAAGCAGCCCAGGCTCCTCCCCCAAAATCCGCCAACTCAGGGCTGCGGTTTAGGGTTTGGGGTTTAGGGCTTTTTTCGCTATACTGAAAATTTTGGGGTTTTTCACAAACTGCTGCTGTCATAGGGCCCTATTGTTAATGTCGGGGCGGTACTCGTTGCAGCTTCTACGCAGGGGCTGCTCTGCAGATGAAAGGTTCAACCCTACCTGGACCCCAAAAGTATGAATAGCCGCCTTCTATACATAGGTATTGGTTATTCTACCTAATCTTGGTGGTTTAAGTAATAGCCCAGGAATGTTCGAGCCTAGACCCTGAACCCCAAAGCCCCGGAAGCCCTTAGCCATCCAACACGAAATTCGCTTCCTAGCGTCGGCCGTACAAGTCCTCGTGTGGGCATGCGGTCCGTGCGGTGGTTGTGCTGGCACCTGCACACATATAACGCAGGGATTCCTTTCCAGTACCCCCCCGTAAGAAAACCTAAAAGATACACTGACTTACTATCTAAGGAGCCTTATACACACTGAACGACATCCTACACTACTTCATGTAGGTTCACCAAACATCTGATTGGCACATGCGCATCACGCAGCCATGATTCGAACTAAAATCCTGGGGTGCTGATCCCAAGTAGCCGGCTGACATATGGGGTAATATAGATTAATATAGATATTATAGACTCTTACTGTATGGGGGCAGTACCTAAGGTATAACTCCTTAGGTGTCGGTTTGTCGAGCTTCTACGTCTGCGCTGCTTCGGATGTAATGTTTCGGTGTGGTATCTATGCCTGTAGAAAAACTATCCCACGGTTGATGATATAAATCTTGCATTACCCATAAACAGGAATATAGCATATTTCCCATACTAGGGTCATTAAGGTATTGCAGGATTTATATCATCAGGCGTGTGTTAACAGCCTGAGGGGCTCTGAATTCGAGCTTTCTGAGCATCTGGAGCCTTGTGGCGGCTGGAAGTTGGGATTCAATCTTGTGCTGCTCCCTGATCTACGGCCGGCGTTTTAATGATCGGAGTAATTAAGCCTTTGGGGTGTGCTGTACAGTAACGATAGTAGTCTGAATGTTGCCGAAACCCTCAACCCTGCTCCACCACTCTACTAAATGTACCACACTCAGTCTTGAGCCCCATATCAAACCCTCAGGTGGAAGTGCTACACCACGAGGCTCCGGCGCTGGTTCTGGCAAGGAATACTCCGCAGTGAAGTTGCTGTGCATCCAGGCAGAAAGACACGCGTAATCATAATTACATGAGTCGGAAATATAGGGTTTAGGGTTTAGGGTAAAGTTATGTGTGAACAGAACCAAACTCCACGAAAAAGAATGAGCGTGCTGAGTGTTCCATTACGATGGCACGAGATCCGAGCAACGCACGAGATTCAGGAATTTGCTCACGCGCGCTGAGGTTCTGACGATTTGGTATCTTTCGAGTAGACCGGCTGGTCTATGCTCAGCTTCCGGCAGTCTGTTCGATTGAGCCGACGATATGGCCGGTGGGTTTATTCGTCGCAACTGAATGTGGCATGTGCATGGTTCAGTTGTCAAGCTCAGCTGTGCAGGTGTTGCTGACGCTTTTTGCGGCAGACCAGGCGCTCGTTCGAAGGGTCGCGCTCACAGCTGCTGGATCCTTGACCGAAAGCTATTGGCGGAGACTTATTTCGGCCGCTAAGCTCCGGACATCTTCGATGCGACCAGGTCTGCCGAAAGCCAGGCGACCAGCGCAGCAGCGGTACATGTCCAAGACGGCAGGCCACTCGCTACCGGCCGCTAAGCTGCAGGCCAACCTGTAGCTGTCCTCTTAGGTCTCCTCGCCAAGTCGCAAGGTCATCGTCGCGATGCACTGCGATCTGCTGCGACGAACAGCAGCCTCGATGTAGCTCAGTGGCACGGCGTCCACGATCACCAACCGAACCTTCGCCTGTGCGTAGTCCTGCGATGGATGTTTCGGCGGATGGTTACGATTCGGTGCCCGATGCCTCAATCATCTTATGCATCTCATAGCGCAGATGCTTCGAGTTGCAGTACCGGTTCGTGCAATCGTTGCCTGCGCATAGTGGCTCTTTCATTCGTGTGATTTTGACGGTGCCTGCCTGCCACAGGGAGAAGGACCCCTCTCTCCTCCGCGATATTTTTGTTTGAAGGTTACCAAGAGCTGCGAAGCCGTGGGGCCTTCTCTTCCAGCGGCTGCAAAAGGTTCCAGAGGTGGCGATTGAAGCCGCCCGAGCTGAATCCCTTCCCCCAAGCCGGGTGAACCGGCAGGTCGAGAAGGGAAGCAGCCAGGGCGCCCCAATCGCCCCCCCCCACCATTGGTCCTCCTGGCGATATCGCTCTCCCATGTTTTTCTTTTTTGAGAACCGCACTCTCTATGAAATCTTGCCTTGGCAGTGGCTACGGCGCAAAGTGCGGAATCCGAGATGACTATGTCCGCTTCCTGAATTTCGAGAGCTTCTTTCTGGAATAAGAATGTTTCGTCAGTCGAGCGAGGCCTTCGCGAGGGCCGGCAAGTATTTGATCACGATTGCCCGGATGCCGCGCGCATTCAGATGGCATCCGTCGGAGTAATATTCCGACCCTGAGCCTCATGTGGTTGTTTCGGAAGATAACTAAACGGCCAGCCTGCCTGGAATGCGCGCGGCTTCGAACGCCGCCGCAATTTCTTCGCTTCGCACTGCTGCCAACTCGGCCAGGACCTCGAACTGAATTGATGCATTTACTGATGGTTGACGCAGGCGTCGCCTCGTGCTTTGTCGCAGCAAAATAGCCGATCACCTGAGGCGTGGCGACCGCTTGGAAGTCTCTCTCTACACGGTTGGGTCCTAATGCATCAGACTACAGCCAGTTCCGATGATCGTCGAACAGCTGTGCCATATGTTGCGAACCGTGCACCGAGTGCGTAACATCTGCCCGCCAGTGTCGCGCAACCTCAATGGCAAACACGACCAAGGCGGAGGGATCTAACAGATACTCGGGCGCCATGCCCGAAAACCGAGGCAATACTGGCGTCGTTGACCCTGATCGTTTGGGTTCTGGGCTGCATGTCAGCGTGTCAAACCGAGAAACAAGCACTCAAACAAACTGCCTGCCGGGTCACCCGTGTTCGGTCAGGAACCTGCAGGTTCAGCAATAAATGTAAGACATGTGCATGGCACAGGGCGAGCGGTTTTGGATGAGCTAGCAGCTCCACGTATTATGGGCCTTCGTGCGCTTACCCAATAGATCGGTTAAGGCAAATTCCTGCCTAATAGGCAATAGTTAATTTCCTAACTAATAGTTAGAAAAAATATTGACTAATTAGTTAATTTAGAATTAACTATTAGTTAATTTAGGCTTGTTTTGCCTTAACTATTTTTAGTTAATTTGCTATAAAAAGCATGTTTGTTCAATGAAAATAACAGCTGTCGTATTGGAGATGCCGTGCAAAAGTGTAGACGTTTTCATGGTTACTGTATCGATTTTGGTAACAAAATAGAGCGGGCGAGCAGGTTGTTCGCTACAGAGGAGAAGTATCCAGTCGCTGTAGGAAGGGGGGGGGCAGGACGGACAAGAAAAAAGGCGCATGCGGAGAGGCTGCAGGCTATTCCGCTGCATGTTTACTGTGTTGTTTCCCAAGAGGTTTGCAGGGTTAGAAAAGTTCGCATGGTTACTGTGTTTGAGGTGTTGCATGATTATTTTCCCAAGGTTATGTGTTCGCATGGTTACTGTGTTTGCGGAACTGCATGATTATTTTCCCACAAGGTCGTGCTCGCATGGTTACTTTATGTGCAGAACTGCATGATTATTTTGGCAAGGTTGTGTGTTCGCATGGTTACTTTATGTGATGAGCTGCATGATTATTTTCGCAAGGTTATGTGTTCTCATGGCTATTTTTTGTGAGGAGCTGCATGATTATTTACTGGTTACTTGTTCGCATGGTTACTGTTTTGGACAAGCTGCATGATTATTTTTGCTCAGTTCAGGACTCACATGGTTCGTGTTGGGCAGACGTTTGACTTGTGCCAGCTTCAGTGAAAGCCGAACTCGCGACTTCTCCGGGCAGCCCGTTGAAGGCCCAAACGGGGAACAGGCAGTTCCAGGTGAGACCCAGAAGCTCCAAACAGCCAAGCGCCTGTGCAAACAAAACTCTGCAGCAGAGGGTTTAGGGTTGCCAAAACCACAGACACAAAACAGACGTCTAGCTGAGCTTTTCTGCTCCCTCCGTGCCCACAGAGCAATATGCCGTCTGGCCAGCGGCTCACACCTGACCCTGCGGTGACCGTGGGCGACCTGATGAAGGCCTTCGAGACTACTTTCAGGGAGCTGGGGTCCCGAGACCTGTCGGGTTTGCTTCGTCTGGACCGTTTCGCCTCTAACACCACTTGGAAAACGACGGCACCCCTCGATGCCTTGTGCGAGCCTGGTGCTGCGAACTTGATGCAAGGCCTGTTCCGAGTGTGCAGCAATGGTGTGATTCAGTCGACGAAACTGAAAGCATGCCTGAACAAGCTGCAGACGGAGCATGGTCGGATCAACTTTTCGAAAAAGTCCGACTATGACTTCGTGGACGTCGCCGACCAGTACGTCCGGCAGCTCTGTGCAAACTGGAGAAACTTGAAGGTGGACAGTGGAGCATACGGCAGGGCATGTCGCAAGGCTTCCAGTTCAGAGAAGGAAATCATCGACAGCATGTTGTCCTTCTTGACCTTTGAGTCCACAACAGCGGCGAACACAGCTCCAGCAGCCTCAGCAGCCTCAGCACCGAGCACAGCTCCAGCAACCTCCTCAGCACCGAGCACAGCTTCAGCAGCAGCGGCACGGCCTGCCGGGTCTGCAGTGTTCGCGAGAGTCCTCGCCAGGAAGGACTCGGAAGCGAGTCGCGAGGGGGTTATGGTGGAGAAGGGTTCCTCGAGTGGCGAAGCTTTGGCTTTGCCGAAGCTCAAGCGAAGCCTGGCAAGCTTCTTCCTGAACGTGGACGAAGAGGAGGAGCTTTGCTCTTGGATGACTCAAGACGTGAGTGTCCAAAAGCCCAAGGCGAAGGTCAGGACAAAGGCTAAAGCCAAGGGCAAGGCTAAAGCGACGGCGAAGGCCAAAGGGACTGCGAAGGCCAAAGCGACGGCGAAAGCTCCTGCTGCTACCGTGACCTGCTTGGTGCATATTGGAATAGTTTTTATTTCGTAGAGGCGGTCTAAGGCTATTTTTTGTGAGGAGCTGCATGATTATTTACTGGTTACTTGTTCGCATGGTTACTGTTTTTGACAAGCTGCATGATTAGAACCAGACACACAGAAGGTAAAGAACGGAGTCTTCTTGAAGAGCACCTGGCGACACCGCAAGTCTTCCCGTGTCTACCACTCGGCGAACCTGGGACATTCTTCAAGAAAGTTTGGCGATTTGGTTTATAAAACCCTAAACCCTAAACCCTATGTAATTCACACAC